CATCAGCGACGTCGTAAAGCGACCCTCAGCACCTGATTCTTCAAATGTTGTATTACCGCGGCTGGGTAGAATATGCTCCTCCTACGCACGCAAGCGAGGACTCGTGCGAGCCTCGCGGCCTCACTTAAACTCTAGCACGAGCGCAATGCTGCAGGATCTTGGTTTCTCCCTCCTAGATGAAGTGGTATAGCGGCTGGCTGCAGCGCGAGGGTGTTCCAGGCGTGGGCCAAGGTCATGCTGTGCGACCACATCATCACATGTTGTCACACTGCCCCACATGTATCGAAAATAAAGCTTTAAGCAGTAGAATCGGTTCTGAGAAGCGTGTGGTCTCCCCCAAGACAGGTTGTGAGCGATGTAGACTGCATCTCCAGGCTTCTTTGGGAAGTTCGGGGGCTGGGGTTCTCCATTACCGGATTTCTGGATTATAGACAGCATGGGTCGGGAGTTTGGTGTGGAGGGGCAAGACGGTGGTACACAAACAAGAGTGGAACACGGAGATGGCCGACAGACGAGATGCTTCATGCAATGCTACTGGTCCCATGGCAGCCTTATAATCAAGCATAAACGAACTGACTATATGCTGTTGTTTGAATCGAAGCAATCATCGCAGGCGAGGCTAGCCCAATTGCGAAGTCATAAGGCAAGCGATGACTGGCTCACATGAACTGCCAGCCACATGTCACGGGTGATTTCGAATGATCTTGAATGCGAGAGGGCAGATATGGGGGCGATGAGACATAAATATAGCGTCAGAACTCTTATCTACTCGCTAGCACAATCCCATGCTTGCTGATTATGCCTTTCTCACGTCAGAGGACAGAAATGTTTGAATGTGTCGGTCCAGAGCCACAAAAAGCGTGACTTATGGTTGTGTCTAAATGCAGTACTTGTAAGTCTCAACATGTTGCCGTCCGAATGTGTGAAAACTGTCATTGCTGTTCTTATTTAATCTGGAATCCGGCCAGATGGTATTTGCTGGGAAAGGGCATCATGCCAGGAGCCAAATTCATTAGCATCATATCCCTGAAAACCCAAGCCCCCGGCATTTGGAAGCATCAGTAGGATGTGTTCCGGAAAGCAGCACCGATGTAGAAGTGCTCGGTATATCATCAAGGTCATAGTATTACAAAATTGACATCCGATTGAGCGTCAGATACTTGCAGCGAGGAGTTAAAGACACACGGGGAACAGGGCCTGTTCGGTATCCTCCGCCACTCGGAGCTCTGCGCTGGGCGACTGACTGAGAATGTTTCCCAACTGTTCACATAGCTTTGTGGTCACTGTTCAATATCACATTGCATTCGTTGCGATCATTTGCGGCCACCGAAAAACAATGAAAAAATTAAATCGAATCGCTGTTCTATGTAGTGTATTTGCGCCCTCTAGAAGTTGGTGATTCAGGCGGGACAGATTGCAGGCCCGGGGCGCATCATGGCCTTCTCGTCCTTACATTGGTTTTGGGGGACAAAAGTTTGGGGTTTATCAAACCAGATCATCGAATGAATCAAGTGACTCGAAACATGACCATAAGAAAATGCATGGGTACGGATGGACCCGCGCTTCCTGCATCCTTTTGTCTGTGGCCGCACAGCGGCGCGCGACTGTCCATATGCAAGCTCGCTAACCGGTCAGCCTCGGGCACAATTGATTGGGCTAGAGCTCTGCGTGGCTTATAGATAGCGAATATCCCCTAGTCGAGAAGCAGGCTTCATCCCCGTGGCATTGTCGTGTCTCAAAAGCTGCCGGGAACTCGCAGTGCCTCAGAGAAACGTGACAGGGTCGAGGCCGTGGTGTTGGCCACAGCAAAAAACGCCTGACCTCTTTAATGAGCTTTGAACACGTCCAACATAAGATCACTAGCTTAGTCCCACTCAACCCGCAACAGGGCACTCAAGGCTGGTGTCAAGGCACGTCGACTCAAAACACGCGCCTTAGCAGTCAACCCCCGAGGTAGCAGGGCTTATGCCTCGTCCACGATTTACCCGACTGTGCACATAGCTTCTTGTAATCATGAATGAACCACAGATACATGGCATTAGATCCCCGTAATGTGAAGCTCGTTTCCCTTTGCCCTTCCGGGACCAAGGCAGAAGCAGAATCGATAAAGAGGGGCATGTGTTTCCATTGCTGCGGCCAATGTCGGCAAGTCCCTCAAAATTTGACCTATCACGGAGTTTGATGGATCATGGCCTTCGGATTTTATGTGGAGTTAGGTGCCTAATTACTTACTGCCGTTTCTCCTGTTGACCTAGTTCATCAATGGATGTCAACATTTCTGAGGCACAACAGAATGTTCAGCTTCAATGACCATCGACAGTACGAATTAAAAAGTTATGGTTGTAACTATTACTATAGGCTGTGCATCTTCTCATAAATATAATGTTCCTGCCGTTTATTACTATTACCTCGTTCAGGAGCCAGGTGTTTGTAATGGAATCGGTAATCTGCGCATGGCCTGGCGGAGAGGCCAAGGCTGTTCACGTGCACAAAGTCGGCTGATGGACCTGAAGTACACCGGGACACTGCATAACAAGAGAAGATGGTTCAGAAGAGCCCAGAATGGAGAGCATCGAGAAAAGAAAAATCTGCAGAATACTTGTTCCCTAGGTAATCACCTAGGCACCCCACATGGCACAGCGACGCGTAACATTTGATGGGCACGAGCGCTGTGAATTGGTCTTGTTTGGATCTGATGTCCAATCTGTTTAAGTGGTTCCTCACTGTGATCCCAATGAGGCGGCCTTGAACGCGGATGTTGATGGGTCGTGGAGAAGCACCTGGGCACCGACATGCTTTACGCCATTGATCAGCCACCGCAGCAAGAAAGAGAACCTTCAATGTTCCAACAACCATACTAGTAGCACATTTCGCGCGCAAAATCCAGGAATTGCCATGCAAACTCGCCTGGTGGAATAGAAAGTCCACCTCTAGAGATGCACTAAAATTCTATTGAAACAGCACTGTCAACATTGCCAGAAAGAAAAATGGCTCGCGGAAGAAATCTAGGCCGGGAGCTATCAAGCTCGAGCCTCGCATGACAATGATCGAGCGAGACTGTATCTCAAGCGATATTCAGGTCGAATCCCTTCCCCTCAGCTCGCGGATCACCGAGAATGTCCACAAGGATGCGCAAGCGTAATCCTAGTAATGAGGAGCCAGGTGGACGTATGACAAAGTTACTGAGAAATGGTCCATGATTGGCCGGGCAAATGCAGCAGGGACTGCTCGCGAATCTGCGACATGGACCAGACCACGGGTGAGTACCGAGATTTGTACCACCATGCATTACTGCAACCCGTGAACGCACAATCGACTTTGTAACAGGATCGAATGGATGGATCCTGACCTCGGGACCCGTGCGAACCTCTCGAATGTCTGCATGATGTGGACCGAATAGTCGGGCATGAGCGAGCCTGATTCGCAGTGGGATGGATCGCGAACCCCGTCGAAACCGGTACTTGATCCAACGGCTCCCGAGGTCGTTGTATGACCAGACTGCAGGGTGGCGTTTCCAAGAGATATACAGCTGCTAAACAATGCTGGCAGGGCTTTTAGGCGAGATGCCCATCGGCGAACCCCTACTAAAAGCGACCATGGGCGTTGAATTCCTCGTTGATCTGCAATATTGTCAGTCCACGAGCGATGCGCGGCGCGGCTACAGGCACATGATCTCGAAGACCACCTAGGTACCATGCAGCCTGAGAGACACCGCAAGGTAAAATCGCAGGCACGAGGTGTCTGGTTGTTGGCTGACGCAGCGAATTGATCTTGTACGGCCGTTATCATCCGTTCAAGGCCGATGGCGTGAGTAGGCCCGAGGTTTTGCAGCGCCTCCCTCCCGCCCGAGGGCAGTGACGCCGTGTGCTCGTGACACTGGTCTTGGTCACGACGACTTTGCCGCGGTGCTGGGACCGGCATGACATGACACGACACCGCACGACGGGGCTCAAGAGAGGGCCAGTTCTGATCGCCAGGGTATGCATGCGGTGGATTGAATGACGCTACAGTGCGGGCCGGGTACTGGGCCCCTTGCCCCTCTACCCAACTTAGAGACTGGATGCGATGCTAGCTACAAATGGGCCTTGTCGCAGTCGATCCTGTTGTGACTGAGATTCGGTGTGCAAGGTGAACACGCTGCAGGCAGGCAGGCAGGCAGGCAGGCAGGCAGGCAGGCAGGCAGGCAGGCAGGCAGGCAGGCAGGCAGGCAGGCAGGCAGGCAGGTTAACATCAATGATGGGGGCTGGGGTATAGCATGGCGGCCGGCCATCACCGTGTGTCCAAGAAGGAAGAAAAGGTGCAACGAAATAAAATAAAACGAGCAAGAAAAAGGAAGGAAAAGAAAAGAGAAGAAAAAGAAAGGAAGAAAGGAAACGAGTTAGTATCTGTATTGCGAGGATTTGCGGCTTCTGGTGCTCGCCTCATCCATTCATGGCGGTCAACCCCCCCCCCCCCCCTTCTCTCTCCCACACCACCAGAACCAAACGCTGTGGACCAATCTTCGCAGTCTCGCCAGTCTGGCCAGTGACATCCAACTGCAGGCCCGGCGGGTTAATATTACAAGACGGGATCAGCTTGGAAGGGAAGCGCAATCACTGCGCACAGAGCAGCGCCAAGCGACAACCTTGAGCCAGGGGTCCGGCAGGGGGTCGACAGCCGAGAACAAGCACGAGTGGGCGGAGGCTGAAGAGGTTCGGGTTGTCAGGTTGTACATCAACGTTCTGTGTCCAGAGCGATACGGCAGGGCAACGAGATTGGCATTGAACTGAGGTGATGCGAGGCTGATTGGGGCAAATGAAAGGCACAGCAACAAGAGGAGGCGCACGTGCATGTATTCGGTACCGTGAAGCAAAGTCTCAATCGCACAACACGCCCGCGCCAAGGCACCTGGCCTGAGGTACCTCGATACCCGACAACCCCCGCGCCCCCGGCCAGCACGGCAGCAACCCCCTCCTCCTGAGCCTCGAGCAGTGTTGCTTCTCCACCAAACTTGCACAATGTGCACTGCTGGCTTGGACCATTTCATACTTCTGGAGCAGCTCTCTTGCCCATATTCCCCCTCCCTCGCACCGATCACGTGGGCCGCTGCAACAGAGCAGTGCCCGGGCACGCAGATGAGTATATCACACCCACGCTTACCACCTCTCACCCGATCGTTGAGTCCTGACAGCCTGAAGATGATGGCGCGATGGCGCGATAGCGGTTGCCGATCTGTCTGAGCCTCGAGGCGGTGGTACAAGGAGCACACCTGGCAGGACTGGCAGGCAGACAGGCAGGCAGACAGACAGGCTAGGCAGGTCGCCATGAGAAAAGCTGGGCTGACAGGCTGATTGCGCCTCTCTGGTTGTGAGACACCCTTCCTACTGACAGCATCCTAGACGATATCCTGTGCAACGTTGAGTCGACTCACAATGGCAACGTCTTTGGCTGGCCAGCTGGCCCGCCCTCGCCCTCGCCCTCGCCCTCGCCCTCGCCCTGGCCCTGGCCCTGGCCAGCCTGGCCAGCCAGCGGCGTCCCTACCAGCTAGGTACCATCTTTCTGCCCGGATACCCAGGATGGCCTCGGCCTCGAGTCTGAACCGTCTCATCCTCCACAATAGACGTGTGATCCTGCAGCCAAGTGACTTGAGGCGAATACCACAGCACATGCATGACATGCAACTGTCCAGGCTCGCCGTCTCCCGCCTCCCGCCTCCCGCCTCCCGTGTCTGCGGCGGATCACACTCCTCCCGTCCATTTGTCTGTCTGGCCACCCGATGCCCAGCCAACCGATCTCGACGCTCACAGTGGCTCCAGGTAGATCTTCGCCGGGATGTGAGAGAGCGAGAGAGCCAGAATGCATGGGTGCCCCGGTCGCCGTTCCACATACTTGGTATCACCGACCGTACGACTCTGGAATGCACTCTGAATACACAGCTCGCCTGGCGTGGGTACTTACGCACGGCACTCAGGATCGCGTCACCCGGTACATGCCAGTGTGATGGCCCGCTGTATAGGCATGGGCTCTACGACACAGCTACCCAGGACCCTCGCCTGGCTGGAGGTCGAGGGAAAGCCTCCGAGATACCTGAGGGAGCCCACCACTCTTGCCTACGTCCCGACCACACGCCTCATCAATATTAACAATGCCCAGGAACCCCGGGGACTGTCCGATGCTCGACCAGGGGCAAGCCTTTCGGCGTACGTTCGTCTTTCGTCCTGACGGGCCGTCACAGCACAATGATCTTACTGGCTAGCGGATGTACCTGAAAAGTGATCCGGGCGTCCCCGTAGATCTCGTTGTTCGAGTGCGCTTATTAGCGACAAGTAGGGGATATCGACACACCATCCCTTTGAGGAAACGTCCGGTAACCAGCACGATTGGATTCGCGTTGCACCGTCCATTTTTATATCAAGCACCTATGTCTGCTTTTTCTTTTCATGCACTTTCTTTTCCGGCTTCCCCCTCCAATCTCCGTTCAGAAATAAGGCAACAAAAAGAAACTTGGCCCCGCCGACAGCTTCCAGCGGCGCGAACATTCCTGGCGAAGATCGAGCACGGATTGACGTTCTCAAACAGCACCGAGCAAGCTGCTTGATAATCATTCAAGACGACCCCCAGCAGCCCAATCGAATCACCGTTAAGTGAAGGCAAGTCATTCGGTCTCCCGCAGTTTTCTCGTCTTTGCTGTTTTGAAAGAGAAGGAGAGAAAGGACAGTTCCTTTATGCAAACGTCAAGATCTCGGTAAAAAGTGTTCCCTGCATAGGATTGTTCCCAGCCCCAGCCGCCGGGCCTCCTGGCGACTCTGCAGGCTGAGATGGAGCAAATGCAGGAAACGGCTCGATCCTGGGTCTCGTTGACAAAGATGCGCATTTCCTGCAAGTCTTTCCTGGCCCGACAATTAACCGCGCTAAATTTCTTGGCCTTCTGGCTGGCTGGAGTGGCATTTGGATTTGGATTGACGCGATCGACGGCTGCTTCCGCTGCCAACTCATTGCCATGGGGACCAAGAACTACGACGCTGTGGCTTGGATCCTGCAATCGGGAAGATGGTCGTTCATGAAAAGATTCAACGTCACCGGATGATAAGCAAGAAAAAGCACTCAGCCGCCAGGGACTGTAAGGGAGACAAGAGCGATGGCCATACCACCGCGACATCAAACTCGCTGTGGCCAACATGGCGGTTTTGATTCGCAACTTCAGCCACAGAGGAGTCGACCAATCATGACGGCGAATCCAACAATCTTCCAGTGGACGAAGCTGTTCCGTGTGTACCGTACCGTACCGCACCGCACCGCACAGTACAGCAACTGTATCCCGAATCGCCCGCGAACGGGCGAGACCACCTTTCCCATTTGAGTTGGGAGGCAGATCGCCGGTCGGCTGATCTGCAGCTGGGGGCCTTGCCGCATAACCCGGAGGATTTTTTGGCGGACTAACCAGCCCATCTATCGGAGATCTGCCCGTCTCGCGCAAGGCAATCGGAAAAGCCTGCAGCTAACAGCTATTCCAAGATACAGACTCCCTTTTTCAGACCCGACCGAGTCACCAGAAGACCATTTCCGTGTCCGGCAACATTCTTTTCATAGCCGGCACGACGTACTGGAAGATCCTCTTTCCTGCACGCTGCGTTACAGTTCGACGCCGATCCTCTGCGGTACTTGATTCCGGGCCCCACCATCCGGTGTAACCTCGAACGCCCACCCGTCCTACTCATCCCGTGGTCTCATACCAGTCACAAGCCAATCATTGTACACCCTTTCGACGAGGATCACGCTTCTAGGCACTGTGACCCCCTTGCTCGACGGCCTCTTCCCCCCGCCCCCCCTGCCCACATAGGTCCCACTAGTACTGTCATCGATCGCTTGGTAAGGCTCCTGGTCCCTGTTCTGTCACCTTGTGTCATTTGTATCCTTTTTCTACCTTTCCTTTTTCTTCTCTCCTTTTGAAAATTGCACACTGGGCCCATCGTCCCTGCTGCCGTTGCGGCCTCCGATTTTGCTTAATCAGTCCCGCACACCTTGCGTCCATTCCGAGTTATCGCTCGCGAGGGCTTGCATCCTCCAAGTAACTCCTCGGTGCTCGCCTGTGGACCGTGTCATCACGGGAGAGCGCGCCTGTCCCCTCCCTCTCTCTTCTTGCTGTCTCCCACAGGCATCAGTGCATAGGGCCGACAGACTCTGGCCCCTTGCGTCGATTGCAGAGCACTGGTTCCCCATTCCATGCAGACCCCGTTGCTTTTCTCTGCGAATGCCTGGGCAAGTCACCCACGGCAGAAAGGGTTTGTTACTGGCCTCTCAAATCGACAACGAGAAAGATGGCTCGCAGAGCAGTCTGCATCCCTGTCATCTGACACTTGCAGCTGAGCAGGGCCTGGGGTGGAAAGCGCCCAGGCGGTCAATATCGTTGAGGGCAGGAGCATGCACTCGCAAACAGGGAGAACTCTAGAACCGCCTAGCTAGGGAGACTCATCAAGGCTTCGACGCCCGTGTCTCTGATACCACATGCTACTTCGCCCTTCCTGGTGCACCAGACCCCACAGACCGACCGTGTATCGCGCTCTCCACGGTCAGTCCGGCCGTGTCAAGAAATGCGGCAGACTGTCCTCCCTTCGCATCTTCCTTGTGCGCTTGCCCTGGCCACTCTAAACATGCGCGACAGGCGTCTTACTTTTCTGAACCACCTTCCCCTTCATCCCGTCTTCTCTATACTTCACCCAGGTCTTCCTCCTGCCAGTGCTGCGGTGCGTGGTGTTGCGACCTTGTCTCGCGTACCTTCTTTCGTCCTCATTATCATCGTTATCCTACACCGAGCCCATCATCACCGTCGTCTTCAAGCACTCTGCCCGATGCAAACGCGGACCAACCGTTCACGGGAGCCTACCGCTGCCCGAGCCGCCGGTCCCTGATCACCTCTTTGATTGCTATTCCTGCCAACACCCTCGCCCATGCGAACACGTTCGGGGTGCCCGCATGAGATCGAATCCCGTATCCACATATGTCGAGCGGATGAAGTTTGTCATCCACTGACAGCACGGCGCAGCCTCAACATCCCAACGGAGTCAGACTTTTTACATGTCCTCTTTCACATCCAAGGTATGCCAGAGTCTGTGACCTTGGCTCGTGGAACGTTTTGAAGGTCCCCCCATCGGTGCAAGTGCCACAAGAACCCAATGTCGACCAATAAGACGCCAACTTGATTGATGTGGCGCTCTTGTACAGCACTCTTGATCCTCTACCCCAGTGATATCATGCATAACATGCTGACCGACTTTCTTCTACAGGTCAGTACCCTATGGTCTCATGTTCTCTCTTTGATTGCCACTGCCTCACAAAGCTGCGTTGGACGGAGGTGCATTACCCTGCCGAGACCCTCAACCCTGGTCTCGAGTTGCTGTTGGCTGCCACGGCCAACGGGTAGTGGCCGTGTCTGAGTCTTGCTGCAAGCTAGCTCGTCAAAGGCATCTGGACCTGGTCTTAAACCGCCAGAGATCCCTCTCGGGAGCTACGAGACGGTAAGGAGGTCAGAATCCGGTCCGGTCCTGAGTCGATTTGATGTCTGTCAGTCTGAGATTCGACAAGTCGACAATTCAACCAACCTAGGATACTCCTTCTCTTCAATCCCAACATTTGGTCAAGATAATCCACGTCAAACTCCGCATTCATTTAGTGCGGTTTCGTTCTGAGTGGCGTGCAGAAGAAAAAGCAGATTGCTACGTCGCAGCTAGCTGGCATTGATCGTCCAGCGCAGCTTCTGTTTTTCCCCTTCTGCTTCCCCCACAGACGGCGGCTTCCAGTCGGATTACACGGCGAGAAAAATCAAAGACATTCTTTGGGAGCTGCTGTGATATCAGATCAAATCGGATCGGACAGCTAAGCTCACATTTCATTTCGCGCAGGCCACACACATTCCCCCATCAATATCACCCTACCCCCAGCATTCGCTCCCGAGACAGTTGTCTAGCGCCGGCTCTTTCGCAATTCGCACATTTCGAAACATAATCAGCATACATCAGACTGGATGTCTGCCCTCAAGCTTGACCAGCCTTTGTACAAGTTTTTTGAGGTGAGTCAAATTGATTTGCTTGGCGATCTTGTCATGTTTCAAGGCGTGGAGATTAATTACAAGAGGAATCAATGGTATAAACAATGACCGAGGCCGAAGAGCGTCAGTCAATGCCATGAATCCAATCCGGCGGGTGTTGTCATTTCTCCGCAATGCCTCTGACGCCTTTGGGACGTCCACGGTGTGTCGTGGGGCGAGGGGAGGGGCGAGATACAGTCTTTATTGTCTTTTGGAGGACTCCACTGACCCGAGAACAAATCGCAGTCGGGGATTCATTCTCAACGGCCGATAATTGTCGACTCGGACGCCCTAGAGTCACCTGATACAGTGACTCTTCGCTACGAGGAGGAGGCAGCTGTGCGGGCCAACGGCGGAGGAGGGGACCTGCGAGGCGGCTCGTCCCCAGATCTCTTGCCGATGGCGGCATACAAGCCTCATCCGCCCCAGATGCATGGTATTGAGAGCCCCGTGTTTCTCGGGTAGCATGCTGTTCCAGCAGCTATTCTATCATATAAGCAAAGTGGTCATACTGACGGGCTTCCCATCATGCGCAGGGTTCTCCGAGTCTTCCTACAACCAATACAGCCCGCAGAACTTGCCGCAATCACACCTTCACCAGCAAACCGAGAATGCCGCAGCGCAAATTAACCAAATGGCATACGCCGCCAATAATGCCGCGGTCGCGTCCAACAGTCGTATATCGTACAATTTCGCGCTGGCGCCGTCCGGATTCTCAGCACAAGGGTCACAACCAAGTGCAGGTCCTGGTGGCACCAAGATTCACTTGCGCATCTCCGGACAGTACGACATTTTGTCTGTGACTTCGACGACACCGTACGTGTGGGTACTCTTCGGGAATGCAGTGCAAAAGAGTCCGGCGCAAATGATGAAAGAGTCGCAAGACGCGACCGGCGCATGCACGTACAGTATCACGGTGGACGCACCCCCATTTGTGGTCACAAATTGGCAAGCGTCTTCTAATGTACCCCTGACTATTGTCATTGAAAGCGCAGATGGGCATGAGCTTGCACGCGTCGGATCCGCGGGGTCATTCACATATACGGACGCAGCAGGTGCAGAGCTTCCCCAAGGGGCGGCCAGTCCACCTGACGGGTCCATCACGCGAAGAAGTACCACCCGCTCACCTCTATCACATGAGCATGAAACATCAGTCCTCCATGTCAACAGTCCTCCTGGCCTCACTGTACGCACGAGTGCCACTACCAGCCCTACAACTGAACACCTTCCCGGCTCGCATCAACTACCGCAGCACGATGTCGCAGATCCGTGTACAAATAACTACGGCTACCCATCCGCTGCCGTCGCGCCATCTCAGTCTCAAGTCCAGGTGCCGCAAGCGCAGGGGACGACTAGCTTTGGAGCGACAGCCTACGGCCAAAGCAACGACACAATGCTGCACGCTTACCGAACTTCGAATTATTCGCACAACCAACACCATTACCAGCGCAGCCCGTCCTCATTGCGCTCCCCACACCATGGACTCGGCGGATGGGCCACGTATGGTGGCTTGGACGGCCGTACATCAACATACTCATCCGCCCACCACACTAACATCACTAGGCCCAGCCTGCATCCCTCTCTCCCGATGCCAAGCGGCGGCCCTCCAACCCTCGTGCGCACGACAAGCATACCACAAGGTACCTCATCAATGGGGTTGGGAGGCGCTTACAGCCCCTTTGTCACTCACCACAAGGCTATTCTCCACATCCAGGGTAACTTGGAATCGATGACGGTTGGCTGGACTCCCGAGGAGTGGGAAAATCGAAGACGAATTGTCATGTTCAAGAAGTCACAATCTGGTAGCCGCCTCACAGCCACCTTTCGAGCGGTCCCCGTGAACGAGCGGCCGCCCAACAGCATATGCGTGAGCTGCATATGGTGGGAGGAGAGACACGAGTGCTTTGTCACATCAGTTGACACGATCCACCTCTTGGAGCAACTAGTCGTCTCACCCAACCGCTTTACGGTCGAAGAGAAGAATCGAATCCGACGGAACTTGGAGGGATTCAAGCCGTTGACCGTGAGCAAAGCAAAGGCAGATTCGGAAGATTTCTTCAAGATCATCATGGGATTTGGGAACCCCAAGCCGCGGAACATTGAGAAGGACGTGAAAGTGTTTCCCTGGAAGGTCCTCGCCCCGGCCTTGAAGAAGATCATCAGCAAATACAGCGCTTCGCCCTCTTCCACGGTGCCCCACTCCTCGCATTCTCACCACACCCTGCTCACGCCGGTCAGCGTTGGTAGCAACAGCTATGGCCTACCCCCTACACCAACGACGGCGGCAGACCCCACGGGGGTATCGGGCTACCTCGGCGGTGCTGGACTGAGTAGCCACTCGGCACTGAGTGACAGCATCCCATCACCACGGTCCTTGACCGGTGGTGTGCCATCCTCGTGGGCATCATACAACGGATCGGGGCGGGATGTGAGCCGGAGCTACTCTCCAACGGGGCTGTTGAAGACGTCATCCCCGGTGCCAAGCTCGAGCTTACGACTGAATGCGCTGCCGACGTCTTATGACACGAGGAACTCGCAGACGGGTTTGTCACACTCGAACCACTACAGCCTACCGTCGCAAGGTAGCCACCACGGCCTATCTGGAACACAGACAGGCCAAAGCGGGCGATGGGACTACAGTGTGAATTCAATATCAGACACGGGTGGCTATGGAAGTGCTCGAGGAGGTTACAGTGATTACAGCTCGTACGGAGATGGTGCCAGTCAGCGGGCGTGAGTACGGAAGGTAACGACACGTGGGTGAGGTCATCAGAGAGGAAGAGGGGCGGCAAGAGTCATAGACAAGAATGGGTGGATTCGGGGAGGGGGTGCTATAGATCGGGGCGAGTGGGTGTACTAATACAGGACTGGTGCGAGACACCAGGTGTTTTTTAGGAGGAGTGCTGCGAGAAAGTGAGACATGACCAAGATGGCAAAGATAGAGAAGGCGAGCGGGCATGAAGTGGACGTGGAGCAGAGGATTGGACGGGTGGGCGATATCAGAGCACCACGCTTGGTTGGCGGACCGGCCAAGAGGAGGAGGTGGTAAGAAGACAAGAAGAGATGAGGAGGAGCAATACACACACGCACGCACGCACAGAGGGGGGGGGGCGGGGCGGATTGGACTTCGAGTTTCTGTACCTTCTGAGATACCTTACCTGATCAGCATTTCAACTTCTGCACGAGCGAGAGCCAGTTCCAAGGAAAAGGGCGCCACCCGCCACCGAAACGAGTCCAATGCATGCCGTCGAGAACATGGGACGGCGCGGTGCCGGACAGTCAGCGCAAACGGGATAGACGTCGGGACAAGCGCGAGAGGCGACACTGTGCAAGCCTGATCTACTGTGCATGACAGGTTGGGGCACCTGGGAGATGATTCGAAGGCCGGGGCGTGTCGCCTGGCTGCTCGTATCGAATTACGCCTGCAGAAAGACCTCAGGAGGCATAGACGATTCTGTTTATCGGATGCAGCCCATCGCTGGTAGGCAGAGAGGTATATATCTTGGGAGTGCGGGTATATCTACCAAGTACCTGGGTACTTAAGTAGGTAAGTAAGTACTGAAGGCCGTATACAAGTACGTTTCTCTTGATGGGGCCGAGCAAAAATCGGCCCGCCTGGGCATGTACAAAATGGATACTCGGTACTGTCGACAAACAGTACTATGTAGACCAAGTGCATGCTAATATCCAGGCGGGGAGTCTGGAGAGTCTGGGGAGTCTTTGCCCGCTGATGCAATTGGGTGGGGCGTGCAGAGGGCCGTCATGTGGGACGGATCAGCCAATCAGGTCTTGGTGCCAGCCACCACGAGTCTCGAAGAGTCCCCACGAGTCCCCACGAGGATGCAGCTAGGCTGGGTCCGAGGTGGACTAGGGGAACCGGTGATCCACATGGACCGGGACGTCTACTCTGACTTTTGACCAGGCGAGCGGCTGCGGCGACGACTGTCCATCGCACCTGCCGAGCTCACCCCGGAGTCTGACACGAACCCACCCACCCACGAGTTGCTACAGTCTGTCTGTCTGTACTCCGTTAAATGCCCAAGGGGCCGAGGGTCTGAACCTATGACACCACCCGATGCTACACTGCAGCGGCTGATCTGGTTGTCTGGGTCAATGGCCAGAGTTCATCATGCCGTCCTTCCACCACCCGCATCAAACCCCCACCCACATTATGTGCAGCCCTGGCCAATCAGTCTCGGCTCAAGTGCTCCTCGCGGGATAGGGATGTGGAGCATGTGGAAAGAGAGGTCAGAGGAGGGGACTAGCATCCATGGATGTTATAGCAAAGGACATACAATATCGCAGCAATCGCCCAAGTCAGGCAAAGTCGGATCCGGCGCCCGTTCTCAGAATACGACGGGCCCTACTGCAAGCCTGCATGCGTGTGCATCCCACTCTACTACCTAGGTAGTAGTGTAGAGATGGGCGAGTAGATACAGCACCGCCAACCCTGCCAGCCTGCGAAGGCGTTGCATGTCATGACATGCATGACGCATTACCACTTGGTCTTTGTGGCCCGCAACTCTTGATACACGCGCAAAATGCCCTTGTGCCCCTTCCCCCCAAGCGCTATCTGCCCTTCACTCTGTTTACCATGCAGCCGTCGCACTAGTCTGTGAATGACTCCCGTTACCTAAGTACGGAGTAGGTATTCTCCTGCCACTTCCGCGTCTCCACTTGCTGAGGTCCTACTGATGGCCCTTTGCCCGCAAGCTTCCATTCAAATCCATGCCGCCTGCGCCCACCACTCATACCCTGACCTCTGACGGACGCACCAGGCAATGCGAGATCGTCTGATCTTGGCTGATCGCTTCCCCAGCACAACGTCTTGAGAGCACGGGTCGACGGCAGTGCCTGAGTGCCTGGACTCTTCTCATTACTGATACTCTGCTCATGCCCATCATCCCTTAGCATCGTGCGTGCCCGGCTCCCCAGTCCCGAGGCCGCCTGGCTCATGTCATGGACTTGTCATTTTGCCTCTCTGTGGGACACCGCCCCCCGGAATCCTGTACTCGTCTGGGTGAGTGTGTGGGGGCCAGCGGTCACTACCGTGCGTAGACGCATACCTGAGTTATCTTCCTGCACTGTCAAATCAGATGACCATATCTTATGTGGGGCTCTAAGCCTCTAGGCTTCCGTCAGCCACACTTGCCGTCCTGAGAGAAGTCCAGTCGACTCATATTCCGAAAAGCCCCCCCCCCCCCCAAAATCCGGTATCATCCCGTTTGATAATGTGTCCCTGCCCATTGGCTGGAAACTGCACACACCCTTCTTTTTGATCTTCGAAATACGACCTGGGCATCTATGCGATAATGATAACGTTGCAGGCGTGTGTCGAGTCAATCTTCCTTGAGATATGGCGACGGTGTCCTGATCGGCCTTGGGGAACATGTTAGCCCAGGTCATCTGTGAATTGGGAGAGATTGCGGTCACGTTCGGCAATGGCACCTGCTGTCTGTGACAAGCGAAACTGACCCCCCCTGGCTGGATTGATTAAGTATATACGGGCATTTATTTGTGAGCAAAACCACATTTAGTGGTATTTTTCTTTATCTAGTAGTTTTAGTACAATAGTTGTTAGAACTTTAGTTTAATAGGAGTGTAGGTATTTAAATAGCCTCTTGTTAGGGCTATGAGCTGAATGCCTGTAGGATCAACTAGTGGGTTTGTATACTCTACTTATCTTATTAGCCTAAGTGGCCTCTATACCTCTTATAATGTGGGATTGTAGCTTTACTACCTCCTTTATACTATTTCTTAGGTAACTTTAGTTTTAAATTAATAATTCTTTATAGATAATTTAAGCCTTCTTTTACTATAGGTTATAAGAACTATTTTATCTCTTTAAGTATATATAATATATTTTTTAATTAATATTAAAGTTTATATATTATAAATTAATTTAATTAAAAAGGGTTTAATTTTATTTATTTATTATTAATTTATTAATAATAATTTAATTTTTAATCTTTATATATAAAAATAACTTTAATTATATTATTAAAATATTATTTAAACTTTATAATATAAGGGTTTAAAGTTTATATTAAATAAAGTAAATTTAAAAATAAGGTTACTTAAAGAAAAAAAAGAAAAAAAGGTTACCTTTTAAACTTTAAAGTAAAAGTAATAATATAATAGCTTTATTAATAAAAACTTATAAAGACTTTTATAAAGCCTACTTACTATTTTTAACCTTTAATTTTAACTATTATATTTTTTATATTATATAATTCTTTATTTATTTTAAGTTTTATATTAATTAATAATTATTTATAATATTATTTATTATTAAAAATATTTTTTAATATTAATATATTAAATTATATTTATTAAAAATTAGAATTATTATAAAATATAAATTATTTAATTTAAATATTATTAAGTATTATATATAAAATTATTATATAATTTAAGTAAATTAATTAAAATTATTAAAAATAAATTTATTATTTTTTAATTAAAGTTTTAACTTTTTAAATAAATATTTATTTATTAATTTTATAAATAAAACTACTTAAAAGTAATTATATAATTAAATTAAAAATAATTAAATAAAATAATTATATTTTATTATTTAAATTTATAATTTTAATAACTTTATAAAAAGAATAATTATTAATAATTAAATTTATAATTATATAAAAATAGATTTTATTTTAAAGAAAATTTATTAATATTTAAAATAGTTAATATATTTTAAAAGATTAAAGAATTATAAATTAAATTTTAAAAAATTAAGATTTATAAAGATTTTAAATTTAACTTCTTTAAAAGAATATTAATAATATTTTAAAAAAGTTTAAATAAAGTTAAAAATTAAATTAAATTTTAATATAATAAAATAGTTAAATAAAAATTAATTAAAAATTATAATTATAAACTTTTAACTTTATATTTTAAAAACAATAAAAGAATTATATAATAAATTAAATTAACTTTTTAAAATAATTTTTATAAAAGAATATTTTAATAATATAAAACTTAATAAATTATTTATTTTATTAATATATTTAATAATTATTTATAAAATAATTTATTAAATAAATTAAATTATAATTTATATTTTAAATATATAATTAATAAAATTAAATTAAATATAATAATATATTTTTATAATATTATAATAATAAATTTATTTAAAAGTTTTTATTTATATTAATAAAAGTTTATAATATATAAAAAAATAAAGTTTTATATATTAATATTAAGTTTAAATTTATTTAAAACTAATTAAATTTAATTTTATTTTATAAAATATTTTATTTTAATTTAATTAATAAAAATTTAAAATTTAATAACTTTTAAAATTTTAATATTATTTAAAGTTTTATTTTATTAATAATTTAATAAAAGCTATTTATTTTTAAACTTATTTAATCTTTTAAATAATTAAAAGAATTATTAATTTATATAAATAAAATTAAAATTAAAGAATTTTATATTTAATAAGTTTTATTTATTAAAATATTATTATTATTTTAATAATATAATAAAACTTTATAAAAGGTTTTAATAATTAAAAGCTATTAAGTAATATTATAATAAAGAAAATATAAATAAAATAATTATTTTTAATATATTTATTTAAATTAATATAATACTATTTTTATATAAAAATAATTTAAAGAAATTATAAAAGGAAGGTTTAAGTTTTCAAAATATAAATAAATAAATTATATTAAATAATTAAATAAATAAGTAATTAATAAAGCTTTTAATTATTTATATATATATATTTATAAGTAAAATAAATTTTTATAATTTTAAGAGTATTAATTATTTAAAACTTATAAGATTTTAAAAGTAAATTTTATTAAATATATATTAAATTTATTATAACTTTTATATAAATAATTATAATTTTAATATTTTATTTTTATTAATAAAATATAAAAATATTAACTTTTATTTAATATATTTAATTTTAAAAGTAATTTACTTTTAATTTATAAATAAATATTATTATTATTTTATAATTAGTATTTAATAAATATTCTCTAATATATAAATTTTTTAAAAGTTTAATATTAATAAAATAAATAAAAAGTATTTTATTTAAATATAATAAAGTATTATATATTAAAATTAAACTTAAAATTAATTTTAATAATTAATAAAAAAGTTAAATTTAAAACTTTAATTATAAATTATTAATTATAATTATTTTTATTTATATTATTTATATTATTTATATTATTTATATTATTTATATTATTTATATTATTTATATTATTTATATTATTTATATTATTTATATTATTTATATTATTTATATTATTTATATTATTTATATTATTTATATTATTTATATTATTTATATTATTTATATTATTTATATTATTTATATTATTTATATTATTTATATTATTTATATTATTTATATTATTTATATTATTTATATTATTTATATTATTTATATTATTTATATTATTTATATTATTTATATTATTTATATTATTTATATTATTTATATTATTTATATTATTTATATTATTTATATTATTTATATTATTTATATTATTTATATTATTTATTTATATTTTTAAAATATTTAATATTTTATAAAATTAAAGTAAAATTATATAAGTATTTTATTAAAAAATAAAAGATTTATAATTATTAATTTTTATATTAATTTTAAAATTTAATATTTAAAATATTAAAATATAAAACTATTTAATTAAATTTTAATATTAAAAATTAATATTTTTATAAAAGAGTAAGTATATAAATATAAATATACTTTAATATACTAATTATAATTTATATTACTTATTTATTATATAAAATTAAAATTTATACTTTTTAATTATAATTTTAATCCTTCTATTATTACTTTTAATTTAATAGTTTATTACTTCTATTTTTATTATTACTTAAAGCGCTTTAATAAGTCTTTAAATATTTAAATCTTTTAAGTTTCCTTCTTATTACTAATAAGATCTTTTATAGTAAAGTTAACTTATAGTAGCTAATTAATAGTCTTATAAGTCTTTATATAGAGCTTTTTATAAGAAGAATTTAGTTTATATTAAAAGTTATAGGTAGTTAGTGAAGGAGTGTTGTTTAGTGGGTGAGAATTAGTAGGTTTGAGTGGGGGGTGTAAAAAGTACTTTGTGTAGGTGGTGTGTATAGTTGGGGGAGGTTGAATAAAGCTCTTTAATTAGCTGTAGCCTAGAAGGAAATACTGTACCTGTGTACTATCTGTTTTTTCCTCTGTGAATATCTGTTCTCTTTATTAGCTAATAGGTAAACTACCTTATTACAAAGGGAGTCCTGTAATCTAAGACAACTAAGTGATGTAGACCTAAACAAGAGGTAACATTGCAGCAGGTCTGGCCGTTTGGTCTGGGCGGCCAAGAGGGGAGTCTATCCCTCGATTCGCTGATAAAATGACACGGTAGCTACCGGGAAGCCGACAGCTAGTGAAAGGCGCACAGGATTGTGCATGTGGGATGCAGTCCACAGATGACCCCTGATTCAGTCTTGCAGCTGTCACTTCAGATGTCCCACGACCACGGAGCGGAATTTTCTTCAACTTCAAGAGAGTCGGCGTGCCAGTTGATTAGTACCAATTTTGATACACCGCGGGTCACCCTAAATCTGGTCATCAACAGTTCATACATGTCACCTAATGTGAGGACTCGGTTGCTTGAGATGACAGTTAGTAGAAAGATGCCACGGGACCTAGAATAAAATATCCACTAACGCCGCGTGAGAACATAAACATGTACACCCACAGAAAAGCCCTATATTGCGCACCTGGATCAATGTCTTAACGTGCGGACGTAAATATCCAACGTTGCCTTCCCTTGCGCTTGAGAACTGGTCTTTCGGTGGAGTCCGTTCTTTTCGGTTGCCCAAAGATCATGGGTTTTTCCCATGCTCTTTCCAGGCATCACCTGCACGGGTATTGACGCCTTCCTCAAAACCCACCTCGTGCTCCTTCCCTCAGATAGCAAGGATGAAGGGAGGGCACGTCATCTCTCGTTTAGGGGCGGGACTGCAGTTACCCAATGTGAGGTAGGTGCTACGGGCTGGAATGCAACCAGGCACCCACCTGCGGGAACCAGAACCGCGCTGCGCGTTGCACGCACATGAGACTCGCGGCTTGAGTGAGACCTGGCTGTCCGACAGACTGGATATAAGGGTGACGAATATCCTAGGCCGTGACAGGCAAACACGACGACCTTTCATTAACCGCTCTTGATTTGCGCCAGGGCTCCAGAGTCAGCATCATTGACCGACTCTTTTGCCTTGCGCGGGATTCTCTCGAGATGGCGTCAACGTGTAACCTTAGGGCCATCATTCACGCTTTCCTCGCCTTGCTGCTCTCATTTGCCAGTGCAGGTTTCAGTCCGCTGTCAAGAACAAATCTGGCCGTGTATTGGGGTACTGCATACTACATACACCCCATAACATTATGTTTACTGTTGTCGCATGAGGCGGATGACTGACTTGCTCACTCGTGCTAGGGCAAAACTCCTATGGCCAGAACAACTCCCAGCAGAGGCTTTCAGCCTACTGTTCCAGTGAGTACCCTGGCTCTTCACTCACCATCCTGCAGCGGTCTCACTCACACGATAGCAGACACCGACATCGATGTGAGTGATCAGGCGACCTTGAGATGTCCACTCGCGCGGCGTGGACTTACCCTGCCTGCCAGGTTATCACAATCAGCTTCCTGACCCAGATCGTCAATCCTATGGTCAATTTCGCAAATGCTGGCGACAATTGCACCGTCTTCCCGGGCACCACCTTGCTGAGCTGTCCACAGATCGAGTAGGCTGCACATTTTTGGCCTCCCCCTCTCACAAGCCCGCTAATGGTAGTCGTCAGGGAGGACATACAGCTATGTCAAAGCTCGTATCAGAAGACCATCATGCTATCCATCGGTGGGGCGACGTACACAGAAGGAGGTTTTGGCTCTCCGGCTGGTGCTGTCGCCGCGGCGAACAATGTCTGGGCCATGTTCGGACCCCAGCAGGCTGGGAACACAATTCGAAGACCATTTGGAAAGGCTATCGTCGATGGGTTCGATTTCGATTTCGAAGTCACGACGCAAAACATACAGCCGTTTGCACTTGAGCTCAGAGGACTCGTGAACGCAACAGCGGCAACGGGTGGAAAGCCTTACTACCTCAGTGCCGCCCCACAGTGCCCATATCCTGACATAGCAGATGACGCCATGCTCAACGGCGGTGTCAGCTTCGACTTCATCCAAATTCAATTCTACAACAACTATTGCGGCGTCAGCAACTTTGTCGTGGGAGCTGCTTCCCAGCCCTCGTACAACTTCGACACCTGGGATAACTGGGCAAGCACTGGAAGTGCAAATTCTGACGCCAAGATACTCGTGGGAATACCGGCAAACATTGGTGCTGGAGCAGGCTATACCAGCGGAAATATCTTGCAGGCAGCACTTGCTTACAGCCGGGATTTTCCCAGTTTCGGCGGTGTGATGATGTGGGATATGAGCCAGCTGTACCAGAACCCTGGCTTTCAAGAGGAGGTCGTGCAATATCTTGGTAGCACTCCCACTCCCACCCCCCCTACGACCACAGCAAGCACAAGCACAGCGAGTCCTAGCACTGCCAGCACAGGCACAGCACCCACAACTACATCAGCCACCTTGACAACCACAACCTCATATCCTCCTCCTCCTCCTCCTTCCACATCAACAGCAAGCCCCACAACCACTCCTCCTGGGACTGGCGTACCTGAATGGGGTCAATGTGGTGGTTTAGGATATACTGGACCCACAAATTGTGCAAGTCCATTGTCGTGCCTCTGTCTGAGCACTTGGTGGTGTCACTGCGTCAACTCGCCCGCGTCTACGATGAGAACTGTAGTCGCCCGATCCACGACGGACCTCATTGCGACATCCAGTACGTCGACGACACGAACTGCGACTGAGACTGGGAAGCCGATCCCAGAATGGGGCCAGTGTGGTGGTATAGGATACACGGGGTCCACCCAATGCATCAGCCCTCTCTTTTGTGCCTGCAACAGCCAGTGGTGGTGTCAATGCCAGAGCAGGCCCGGAAGTGGCGACTCCTCAACCCCCATCGAGGATCCCAGTGAGAACGTTGTAGCGCAGTGGGGACAATGCGGAGGGGTCGGGTACGAGGGCTCGACGACCTGTACCAGTCCATACTCGTGCGCTTGCAATAGCGATTGGTGGTGCCAGTGTCAGTAGTGGGAATCGGCTGGTCTGCTGGTCTTCTTGACTGAGGTCATTGTCCCAGACACGAGCAATATCTGATGCGGGATGGCAGCGAAGGGGCGGCACGCCATGCTATTCATGGCCCATTTTTCTGGCTCCGACATAGTCTAGATCTCTTTTAATTTGTCCCTCAGGTCGGAAGAATTAAATGTCACAACGTACATATGTAGGGAGCCTTCAAGTCGTTGCAAACCAGTGGGCAACTAGTTGGAAACCCTAGCTCGGTCTGCCAGTAAGTATCAAATCCACACCTTGAGGTTGTGGATGCATCCATTTTCCTCTTGGCTTAGTCAACTGCCCAGGTGTGAGATACTGTAGGCAATAAGATTTTGTAAGGCTCCCCGGTAGTTGCGGCCTGGGGCGTTTCATCCTCGTCCTTGGTCTCCAGCACTGGTTATCATTGTCTATGCTGCGCTTTCGCTGTGTATTGGTATTGTTCTAAAGTTTCAAAACCTCCCCCCCCCAGCAGCTCAAGCAGAAGTGAAGCCCTTGGGGTTCAGCACAATCATGGACATGGTATCTGAGCAGGAGCTTAAAAATTGTTGTGGCCGTCCCCCCCCCCTTCTTCGCAAAGACCAACCTGGTTGGGCTGAAGAAGGCACACAAGCAGCGAGACCGAGGACTTAGTAGGGCTGGAGCAAGGACCAGGCCAAGCTTTGTGTCAAGCATGGGTCAACTTGAGACGATGAACTCTGTGCTCGGCAATCTAAGCCGTTATACTCAGGTCATGAAGCATGCTAGGACGCATTTAAGCATGGCGCGGTGCTGTGATGCCCAAGCATCCTGGGCCTTATACGTACTTGTTGGGGCCAGGGGGTGTCTCGGACAGGCCTTTCTGGAACCTAGCGCGGAATGACAGCCCACTTTTGTACGTCCAATTGGCCCTGGAGCTTGTTCTTGAACAGGGAGCACCCTGATACCCCCCTAGTGCGAGTCACTTGAGACGATTATAGGTGATGCCTCCCGCCGCAACTCGAGAGAAACCCACCTGGATCGTGTTTGGGTACGCTCAGAGAAGGGCCTGGCGCCGTCGTAGTCGTCACAGTCCTTGTCAGTCGAGACCTCGGGTGACTTGGGTGTCGCGACACGGACCCCCCTCCAGGACCACCTCTGACAAGCTGCAACTCTGTGTGTGCGTGTGTGCATCCATGTCTTTGTCGACCGCCCGGCTGCTGCGTAGATCACCTCGGACGTCTATACAATACCCTGGACTTGGCACCTTTCCCCCTCGACATTCCCTCAGGACCTGCTTGTGTTGTAGTGCTCGCTGGTCAACCGGTACCCTGTGATCATCTGTGCCATTCAATATCTGTTAAGATTCTTTAATATTCTTTGTCATTTCGCTGCACCTTGTTCCTGCCGGTCGAAATGAACAACAAAACGAAGCAATACGACACAGTCTGGAGTGCCGACGACCCTGACCAGGAGGAGTTCCTGTCCGAGACAGATGTCGAGGAGGGACACGAGAAAGAATGGCAGTCAGATGAGAGACCTGCCAGGCGGCGGGCAGGGGCTCCAATGCCAGTATGGTCGACCTTACGAACATACAAGGGGCTAGTCGACACGGCCCTGTTACTCGTCGCCATCGCAATGCTGGGTCTGCTGCTCCTACGGCGGCCACAGCAGTTGGAAAGGAGGCAGATCGGAGGAGACTATATGGGGGCCGGTCCAGAGTGTCAGTTCCCCTCACCTGTCAAGTTCTCAACAGCAGCACTTGAGTGCAAGCGTGCGCGCACATCATGTTGATGCGACCCCGTCTGACCCAATTGAACCAACAGTCCCTGCCAGAATCGTAAAGTGGAACGCAGATGAATCATTCGTGCCCCCCAACGCATCGGAATGGTTCTCGGAGGCGCTGTTGGGGAGATGGAACACGATGATGCCAGCTGGAGCCGCCCTTCGATCGGCGGACGAGGTCTTCCATACGACAACGATGACACATTCTCTACATTGCCTGGTGAGTCCGGTCCCTGGCCCCGAACTGTCCAGCGGCCCAGAGAAACCCTAACGCATTCTGCGTCATTGGCCTAGTTCATGATGGGCCGCATCTTCTCCTCGTTGGCTGGCAACATATCCGGAGTCCTACCCGACGACTATTTCACGCATTACATGCACTGCGTCGATTACCTGCGTCAATCCGTCCTTTGCTCCTCAGATTTGGCTATTGAACCACATCTACCCACCGATGGCCCGGACAATGGCCCACTGGACGGGGGTTGGAATGGCATGCACGGTATGGAGCCTCCTTTGCTCGCGCGTCAGCGCTGCTGCTCTAGTGCGTACTATGTACTAATCTAATCTATGGGGCTGCAGTGTGCAAGGACTACTCACAAGTCATAGACTATCTCGAAGGTTTGCGACCCCCGTGCTGGACCGGGCCCCCGGCACTGCAGTTTTCGTGTTGATGCTAACCAACCGCACTGAGCAGAACAAATCGTCGATGGAGTGCGCGTGGTGCTGCCAATTGACGACTGAGAGCCGAGGGCCCCGAGATAAATTGGACCCTCGACTTTTGAAAAAGTCGCTGGCAGCGCTGGCAGCGCTGACAGCGCCACCCCGGGATTAAGGGTGTCATGTGACGGGTTTAAGAGAGCCTCTCATACGATGTTGAGTCACCAGCTCAGCAGTACGGAGTAGAGGTTCGCGGGACAGTGCCCAGGTGGCTAATGGCAGGCTAGCAGAGACCAGCCCACAAATATCGTTGGACCCATACAGTAGCATTCGTAGCACTTCCAACTCACTCGTGGGGCATCTTGATTGCCCGCACATGCAGCGTCGATCAGAGCTCGGGCATTCGTCCGGAGTAGTCAGTCGCTGGTGTCAGTTGTGATTGTGTGCCGCGTGTTTACTACCGTCCTCGTAATCAAACGTCTATGCTATGGCACGCCTGTACTGGTGACAGAGGCATTCGGAGATGCCGACATGTACACTCTATCATGCACTGACTGATCTCTTGGGGTCTTGCTGGTTTTTTTTGGTTTTTTTTCTTCTTGCCCTCCTCTCCTCTCTCCTTTTCTCACCGGAAGCATGGGCCATTCATTCCCCGTCGCCTGGGCGGCCTGCTCGCGTCATGTTTTGAGTTTGACCTCGGGAGCCCTCAAGTCGCTACGAATCGTGGCACAGCCCACCATGACGGGATTGCCATCTCATCACTGTTCCGCAGCACACGGGAGCCGTTCGAGGCCAAGTTGCCGAAATCTGCATCGCCTTGATAGCCGCCGCAGCCAGCAAAGTTGACGTTAGGAGCCCATGCTGCCGCCCCACCAGTTCGCCTCGAAGGAAGGGTGAGATATGTACTACTACTCCGTACACTACACTTGATGCGTCTCGTTGCACCAATTGACCTTACGTGGGGGCCCACCTTCCCCGCCGAGCCCCGTCTTGTGGCAGGGCCCAATGGCCGTCGAGACGGATGAGGCGTGGACCTCGGGATGGGGCAGCAAGTTGCAGGCTGCAACCCAGCTGTCAACGCGGCAGGCGCTGCTCGAGAACCAAGCCCTTCTCGCTGTCATTCAACAAGGTGATGCGCGATCATGAGGACATCAGTTGTCGGTGAGTTTCCGTGGGCCTTCTGGTTGGTGTTTCTATTCGCCTTGATCCTGCACCAAGTGGAGACTTTCGATAGGTTTTTGCAGGGGGCCCTGCCGGCCGTAGCAGGGGTTTTATCTTTGATCGATGGAGGCTCAACGACTTGCAGACGGCTGCTAGTCCTATGAGCGGTGAGCACGTTTTGGCGCGTCTATGCTTGTCTATGTCGCGATGTCTGCTATTGCTGCATCCGAGCTTAGCAGATACCTGCTCCAGACGTGCCGGCTAGCCATTAGCATCAGCTGATGCGTGTTATGTACTGGAAGAAATACATAAATCTGATGCCTCTTGCTCCGTCTCACAAGACAGGTTTGGTCCGGCCTGCTTCTCCTCTGTGTACAGCAAGCACCCTACTTTTCCTGATCCTGCGGTCCAACCTTTGAAAACGGCTTCCTCCTGGGCCGTCCGTCTCTTGCAATCGCTTTACAATACTTGATTCCACAACAAAAGGTCTGCTCCTTGCTCCAAGACCAACACGATGGCTCAGATACAAAGAAGAAACACCGATATGGGTGACAGTGTCCGCGAGAAACAGGAGCGACGGAAGTCCGGAATCTTTTCCTTTAGGTCTTTCAAAAAGTGAGCATCCGCCTTCGGGTATCTCTTTTGTCTCCTCTTTCATTTGATCATGACCCCATTGAGGCCCCGACGCTCTTGCGCTGCGAAGTGCGACACCCATCCTTGAATCGCAGCGGGCGTGCACCCAGCCAAGCTCGCCATCTCTAGCACTCCGTACTGAGCCGGAGTATCTCCCTCAAAATGCATCATCTCCACCACAAAGTTGATGGCGGAAATGGCACCTTGGCCTTGACGTTGCTTGCATTGCCTTCTGTGGTTGGTTCTGGAGCTCTCCAGCCCTACTACGGTCTCTGGCATTGCCGTTGAGCTTGTCGTGGACGGGCCTTAAGTTCCAGCGGAGCAAGCATTCACATACATATGTAGTGAGCCCTTGTCTTTGACAGACGTCAAGCTTGGCACCCTACCAAGTCGTCGCCGCCTCATGAAATCTCGTCCTTCTACCCACGACTTTCTAGGAGAGTTGGGCCACGATCCGCACATGCCTTACGACGTGCAGCGCAGAAGACGCGCTTCTTTGCCTTTGTCTAGCAATCCACCATTCCCGACAATCCCCACGCGCGTCTCTTCCCTTGGGTACTTCCCACTTTTCTATACGAGGACGGACCTCCGCAATGTCCGAAGAGATCAAACACGCTGACCTTGACTGCTCAGGTCCTCTACAGACACCGGAAAGGTTGACACAGCATCGTCACCAGCAACATCACCCCTTGAGCCGGTCTTGAAGAAGACGAGTTCTTCTCACAGTATACCTGCTGCCACACAGACATCTGAAGTCATAGCCGAGGCCGAACGCCCCTTGAGCTCGTCTCCTCAGCCCCAAACAGCTTCAACTGAAGCGCTTCACAGGCTAGCAACCGGGGGCAATAAGTCATCCGGTGAGCCACTGGAGAATTCAGAAGGTCTGCCAACACCTCCTGACACCCCAGGCCCTTCATCAAAGCCAACAACCACATTGGAAGATGCCCAGGAAGCAGGCACTGCAAACACCAATGGAGATACAACAGAGGAATCGGCTGTTGACTCGACCGTCCCTACCTCAATCGACGAGGCAAGGGAGTTCTCATTGCCCGAGTCCGACAGGAGTGTTTCGTATCACGAAGATGCCGACCTTCACATCAGAGTCCAAGAAACGGATGGCACAAGCGCAGTCTACTCTGTGCGTTCCAGCATTTTGGAGAGCGTGTCTCATCGCTGGAAAGAGGAGCTTGCCTCTCAAGCGATCAACCCAAATCAGTCAAGCGACCCTGCGTACGGCCTGGACGTCATCTTTTCCATTGCCCACTACAAGTTCCACGACGTCCCCAGCATCCCTAGCATCGGCAATCTCTACGATGTTGCTCTCGTGGCAGAGAAATTCCAGGCAATTCATCTCCTAGTCCCATTCATCAAGGGGTGGATTGCTGGACTTCCAAGCCAGATCACAAGTCCCGGGGCTGCCGTCGACGAGGACAAGACATTGGTCACGGGCTGGTTGCTTGGACAAGCTGAGTGGTTCTCCAAGATTCTGTCGAATTGTGCCTATAACGCGCATATCGGCGCTGATGGCCAGCTCTTGGATTCTGAGGGCAAACCCTGGGGTGACCAGCCCGTATCCGACGACGTGGTCGAGATAATCGCCGCGACGCGCCTTGCTGCGATTGAAAACATCATCAAGGCAGTGAGCGAGCCCGTCCAGAAGCTCTTGAACCCTCAGTACTACCCCGAGGAAGAGATTCGATACTGTCATGCACCTGAGGATGACGCCGCCCGTGAGGACTGCGAGCAGCTGCAGCTCGGTTCAGCCATCATGGGTCTAACCAAAGCTAAACTGTGGCCGCCACCCGAGCCCACGCGGATCAACGTCAGCCCCGTGCAGCTGGCAAACTCGTACGGTGACGTGCGCATCAGACGCCACCAGGAGCCTGGCCTGCGCTTTAGAGACGGCGAGTCCGTCGGTGACAGTCATTCCAAGTGCGGCTTCGGACATCGTGAGGAGATTGAGAATATCTTGGCCACCCCCGCGCAGCTATCCACGCAGGTGGTCAAGGAGCTGTATACGAGGGCCAAGAGATCGGGGGCTTTCAGCGAAGGGCTCTTTGAGGACCTCAAGCACTTCATCAATGATGATTTCGCTGTTGCTGTCGATGGGGATCTCAAGAAAAGTCCTGTGGAGTACAAGCAGACGACTCCCGCTGCTTCCAGACCCGACGGCTGCTGATGCTTAGATCCTAGGTCAGTAGATCGAAACATGAGACTTTTCTTGGTCGAAAGCTGACTCGATTATGAAGATCAAGTACAATAGACTGGTTGAGGATCCTGGATAGAGGGCCAGCGAGCAGGCTCTCTGATCACCGGAGTTCAATTTCTAAAAGCGTTGGGAAGGAATCGTGTGTTATGTTGTATGATACCATGTTTCTTAGTTTTGTGTTCTGTAATGAAATGCCTTTCGTAGCCGTCTTCGGCCCTCATGCCATTGAGTGTTCTCGGGTGATACAAACCAACCGTGAAGAGATTGCTGCAGGGAATGCTCAATCTGATGAAGATTATGGCGTCATGAGTCAAGCATATTTACGAATTTCTGGCAGGAATTGTGATCATCATAACCGCCTGGTGGAGATGAAGAAAAGGTATGGTTGTGAGCCGTTCTTTGACCACGAGAAGTGAATAGGATTCAACGAGTAAAGTATGAGCAACGGGGTTTCTACATGCCAGAGGAGGTTTTAGTTTGAATTGCAATATTATAATATGGCTAAAAGGGAATACACCTCGAGGGAAAATTATTGAGAGATAGGCAATCGCGGATACCGTATTCAAACGCAGGCACGAAGTTACTCGAGCGATTTGCAAAGTTGTTGAAGAGTCACTCTGTATACCTACCTATGTAGGTATGTCGATAGCTTACACACTGTCATCCTATATCGGCTTGTTACCAACATGGCTATTTCATATGGTTGTCTTATGCAAGGTCATCATGTGAAGGTTAGCTATGAGACAATCGTACTATACCTAGGCAGCCATTACAGAGCGGGTTGTCTTGCTTTAGGTAACTTCATCAAAGTTATCCCATATGAGGTTCTCTACAGGCCACCCCGAGTAGATTTGTGTAGTGAGCACTCCAACATAGTTATCTACCCTTGTGCCGTCGCCGTGTAGCAGTCACCCGAGCGAGAGTCTTTTTATAACATTAGATCCTACATGCCGGCACACAAGGTGATTTCATTTTTAATTCTATATATATAATATATATATAGTACCTTTATATAATAGTAAATATTAAAAATTTAATATTATAGAAATATAATATTAATAATAGTAGAAAGAGAATATAATATATAAATATATAATTAAATTTTATATTATATAAATAAAGTTAAAAAGTATTACTTTTAATAATATTATATTAAAAAGTTAATAAAATAATTATATAAAATTAAAATAATTTTAAAATAGTTTTTATAAAAGAAATATTATAATATAAAACTTAATAAATTAACTTTTTCTATTAATATAATTTTATATAATTTTATTTTTATTTTATATATATTTAAAGATATATATAACACCTTTAAATAATCTTTTCTATTAATATACTTATTATATAATTATTTATTTTTATTTTTATTAAATAAATCAAATATATAATTAATAGAATAATAATATAATAAAATAAAGTTATTTAAAAGCTTTTTTATATAAATTTTATAAAAGAATTAAAACTTTTAAATAATTAAATAAAGTTTATTTATTATATATTAAATAAACTTCTTTTAAGTATAAAGTTAAAAGATTTATAATTATAATTTTCTAATTAATTTTTATTTAATTATTTTATTATATTATAATTTAGTTTAACTTTATTTAAGTTTTTTTAAGTTTATTTAGTATTTTCCTCTTTAAGTAAGTTAAATTTAAATTAAAACCTTTAAGTTTAAGTTTAAGATTTTTATAGATTTTAATTTACTTTAAATTGGATTTATAATCTTTTAGTTTTTAAAAATATATTAATTATTTTAAATAATAATAACTTTTTTAAAGTAAAGATCTACCTTTATATAATTATAAATTTAATTATTAATAGTTATTTCTTTTTTTATAAATTTATTAGAATTATAAACTTAGATATTATATATAGTAATAGAGTATAATTACTTTATCTAGAGGTTATATTTTAATTTGGTTAAGTAATTGTTTTTAAGTGGTTTTACTTATAGAGTAGAGCTAGAACTCTTAGAGGAATGGTAGCTTTATCTTTACCTATTTTAATTAATTTACTTAAGTTATATAGTAACCTTATATATAGTATTTAATAGTATTAAGATTAGGTAGTCTATAATCTATAATAGTTTTAATCTTTAATAGATTAATTTATATTAAGGTTAATAATATTAGTTTAAATCAGTATAACTTAGTGTATTAATATAGGAAGGTATCTTTTAATAATAAATAATATTATAAATATAGTAAATTATAAAGTTATTATAAAAGTTTTATATAGTAAATTTAATTAAATTAATCTTTAAAAGATATATTATATTTTATTTTTAAAACTTTAACTATTTACTTTTAGTTTAATAATAGAATTAAAAATATAAATAATCTATATATTAAATAAATATTATATAAATAATAAAAGTTTAAATATTTAAAATTAAATATTTCTTTTAAATATATTACTTTATTATTAAAGATTTATTTACTTTTCTTTAATATATAAAAATATAATAAAAGAAAGTTTTATAAAAAAAACTAATAACTTTACTTTATATAAATAAGTTTAAAGATATATATTAAATAATTATTTATTTTATATTAAAATGTAAATTAGTAATTAATTTAAAAGTTAAAAAGATAATAAATAGATAAATAGTTAAATAAAAAATATAATATAATTAAAGCCTATTAGTGTATACTTTTCGAATTATTATGTTCCCTAACTATGCAACTCTTTTACTTGTTTCTACCTCTATCTAAATAGAATATACACTCGTTATGAGCGGCGTACGAGACAGGCAAGTCTTTTCTATACCACGTAATCTTTGGTGTGCCGCCCTCAAGAAAGAGAAGTGTTCTTGAACCAACCCAAAGGACAAAGCTGACACGCTTGAGATCAATGCAAAGAGAAGTGAGAATACCAGAATCAGAGCAGATGCACCAAGACTTCCGCACGGAGTCGTATAGTGTCCACATAGTCAGGGTCATCGCCCGAGATGTGTATCAGATATGGATTAGGTGCACCGCATTGTCCATGCTGGCCCATGACGACAGTATGATTTATGGGTTCTCAGTCAGAGCACAGTCGATTGCAAGTAATTCTGTTCAAGTGCAGTTCTCAGGACATGGCACTACTGGTGAGTTTGCCGACATGGCGGGTCTATGAGAGAAGCAGTGAGATTCCCTTTCCATTCTCCTGCCGCCCTTGCCGGCCGTTAATGTGAGAGCCGGTAGGAATCGTTCTGTCGTCCACTCTCGGTGGCGGGCTACGTCCCGAGGCAAGATTGACCCAGTGCAGTGCGGACAGCGCTTGACTCATGAGCATGCCACCGTGCCCAAGCGCGACCCGCTCGATCTCCGCGTCTGAGACTGTATAGTGAGTGTCGTCCGTCCCATGTCGAAAGTCAAATGCAACATGATCCCGCCAGCCGACGCCGCCCCGCTCTCATTGGCATCTCATGATGCGCTGGTGGTGTTGTGATGTCGTTATCTGAACCCACACGGCCCTTGGTGATCTGCCGGGTGTCCTCCGCTTATTAGGAAGGTTCCGATCTTCGAGGCCTGCGGCAGCCAGCCCAGCCCAGCTATCAAGACAAGGACAAGCAGGCATGAGACTGGACGAGCCGACACAACTTTCCAAGCATCCTTTGAACCTGATTTGGATGGAGTCAATATGGCCGGGATTAAACAATTCTTCAATCATTGATCGATCGGTATTTGGAAGGGCCCTGAGCTAGGGTAGGCGGTTGAGGATGTCTATTTATGGCCGTGTTCGGCCTGGGCGAAGAACCCAGGGTCCCAGGGACTACCATGTGCTAAAGAAGCATCAAAACATATTCAAACCGCCGTTGGCGCATCCGCCTCCATATGCACGTGGCAAGGTGCTTCTGGGCCGTCAAAAATCGGTAGAACAGCGCCGCGGCTGCAAGCCACAGACGTCCATGCGCAGGAACCAGTCCTTCAGGTTACCTCGTGATGCGCTCCCACAGTCCAAAAGCAGTTACCGTCCCCGCACGGCTGTGCTTCCGCAAAGCTGTCCGCCTGGGTAGCGTCAGGGGCCCGGACCCGGTTGTGGATTGCTAGTCAAGCCAAGCTCTCTTAAAAAAAAAACCGAAGAGAGTTATCTTAATAAATCAGGACGGGTCCTGATTCATGCCTTGGCACGATCTCAGCTTCTGTCCCTTTTTCGCAATCATTTGGACACTACCTGCACGCATCCGGCCAAAATGTCGGTCTGGGAAAGTGATGACCTTGGTCTGGTGGCATTGAGGACCACATGGTCGCTGTTCGGGGTCACAGCAGGTGAGGCCTCTCCCCATGCACGGGGTAGAAAATCCCATGGTCCGGGACAGGAAAGCTGACAGGTCATGAACGAAGTGGTGTTTGCTCTGCGGGTCTACTGTCGCCTCCGGTATACACCTAGACTCGGCGGAGGTCTTTACGTCGACGACTTCATCACAGGCGGCTGCCTCTTGATGCTACTGGTCTTCTGCATGTTGCTCTCAGTTGCGGTTCAGTATGGCGTTGGGAAGCACTATGTGACCTTACCCGACCGCACCAAAGTCCAGGCCGGAATGTGGAATGCGATCCTCAGCGGCTTGACACCTTGGATGTGTACCTTGCCCAAGTTCGCCATCATCACGACGCTCAAGCGGATACTAAACTACGGGACAAAGACAGCAATCCTGCTATGGGGTCTCGCCTTGACGTCACAGGCGAGTGTCGTCGCGCTGACGGCCTGGGGCTTCGCTCAGTGCACACCGACGCCCTTCCAGTGGGACAGGAGCATTGCGGGCGGAGTGTGCTCAGACCCAGAAATCTATGTCAATTTGTCCTTTTTCGTGTACTCGTACTCAACGGCACTTGATGTGTTCTTCGCGCTATATCCTGTTCCGTTTGTGATGCGGCTCAGCATGCCGTTGAAAACTCGGATTGGTGTCGCGGCCTCATTGAGTCTGAGCTTGGTGGGCTTCGCAATTTCGATTTACAAATTCTCCATATTCAACAAAATCGGCTCACTCCTGGTCACGGACCCTTCATGTGAGCTATTCCCCTCGTCAGCATGTTTCTCTCCTTGGCCAGCTCTGACTAACGCGCGTCACTCAAAGTCCCTCTGGTTTACCTCTGCATGACGCACGCTGCAGAGGGCTCATTCCTCATGATATCAACCTCTCTCGCCACCCTCCGCCCATTGTTCAGGTCGATGAAGCGCCACGTCTCGACCGTTGCTGGGAACAGTAATGAACCCTCGAAGCGGCGAACTGTTGGGCATTCCCGGGCATTCCACTCCGCTAGTCACTCCGATTGCATCATTACGTCACGAAGCAATGCTGAATGGGTTCCTCTCGATAACCATGCTGGAAATGACATAGAGGCGAAAAGGGACATCGTGGTTCAAAAAACCATCGAGATCTCTGTATCGAATCAGAGCATGTCAGGCGAGACATCTCAGAGCAATTCCCCTGTTGATCGTGACCCTCGGTATTCGATATAAGCGGGGGGATCATACTGCATAGTTGTACTTACTTAATTAATCTATAGATATCAGGCCGACGGTTACATGTAGAGAACGTAATTTTTGACAGTTGTGATTTGCAGACGTTGAGATCAGCAAGACGAACTCAAAACCCCATGCACTCCACTCCTCATCACTCTGTCCCGATGTGCTTTCCAACGTCACGAGCATCTCATTGCATGTGGGATTCAGGCAAGGCATGAAAAAGAATCATTCAACGTTGGCGAGAATGCAAAAACTCGCCGCGTTGCAGGACCATCTCTTAAATCGCGGTTGCCTAAAGTCCGAGTCCGTTCGAAGCCCGGTTGGTTGTTGGTACCTAGGTATTCAAAGTGCACATGTACTATTTGCGGCATAACAAGCACTGGTGAAATTTTAAGGAAGGATATGTGCTGATCTTGAAATATATCGGAGTTGGAACTCATGTCGGGGTTGAGAATGGTTCATGGGCATCGCGCGAACCGATGAACAGTCCGTCATGAGGTCATTTTCAACCATGGGCAAAGCTTAGGGATCACACACTGTCTATTGCCGTAGGACTACGCACAGTCCTAATGGGGGACCCCTTTTCATCTCTTATTATGTGGATGACTTAGGTACCTACCTAGGTAGGTAGGCCTGCATAGGGATGCAACTTTTCAACAGTGTTAAGATCAAGCTATAAATCCCTAGTGACTGGGGGCTTTAACCCTGCCAGCTGTTCAGAGAACCACCCATGAAGAACCGTAAAAGCTATGGGACAGTACCTTTGGACTACCACGGACCGGGTGACCACTAACGGCATATGCCCACAGACCGCATATGTAAGAACGTGGGCGGTTTCATTCCTAATCCCCACCCTAGGGCATATATACAAAACGAGTATAGTAATAAGTCAGTATACCACATTATACATAACCCCCCTTATATATATAACTAAATTAGATACCTTAATTTTAACTATATAATTATAAACTTAAATTTCTTAATAATTAATAAAGTTATTTACTATTTAATTAAAACTTATTAATCTCTAACTTTTATACTTTAATATACTTTTTTAATAAATTTTTATTTTTAATTTTAATATTATTATTATTAAGTTTTAATAAAATATCTATTATACTTTATCTTATTACTACTCTTTACCTTTTAATACTATAATATTAATAAATACTTTATTTAAATTAAAAATAACTTAAACCGATTTATAAAACTTTTAATAATTTAAAATATTTATAAATATATCTCTTTAACTTTAATAATAACTATATATATATATTTAACTTATTAAATAAGTTATTTAACTTATAAAAATAATTAAACTATAAATAATTTAAAGAAGTTACTTAACTTATATAATTTAAACTTAATTTTATATAATTAATAAAATAAATAAAGTATTTTTAAACCTATACTAACTATCTCTTTATTTAAATTATATATTAAATACTTTCAAATTAATATAATAATAACTATAATAATTAATAAAACTATTAACTTTAAATTAAACCTTTTTTATTATTTAAATTAAATATTTATTATAAATTATACTTTCTTAACCTTTAATAAAATAAATACTATTATATAAACTATATAATATACTTTAAGAAAGAATTCCTTAAAGAACTTCTTTATATTATATATTATTATAAAAACTTTAACTATTAATAATATTATTACTTTAAGATAAAAAATATTAATATTAAAAGATTATAAAATATATAAAATATATACTAAAAGGAAAATAAATTATATTTAATTATTAAAGTAAGTTTAAAAAGTTTTTAATTATATATAAATAATAACTATTAAATATAAAAATCTACTAACTCCCTTTAATTAATAACTTAACTTTAAATATAAAGACCTTTTAATTATTATAAATTAATTTAATTATTAATCTAATTAATATTTAAATAAATAAATTATTAATTTTAAAGTTAATAAAGTTTTTATTAAAAATTATTACTATTAAATTATTTTTATTTTAAATATAATAAAAATAAAAGGTTTAATTTAAAGTATTAATATACTTTATTACTATATATTATAATCTCTAAAAGCTTTCTTTTAATAATTAAAGTCCTTTTAATAGATTAATTATTAAATTATTATTTCTATTACTTTTTAAATATTAATCTTATTATTATATTATTAATTTATTTAAAGAATATTTAAAAACTTTAAATAATTTAAATAGTTATAAATATTAATAAGGATTCAATTATAATACTATTGACTTAATAATAATTAATTTATATAACTTTAAATATTTTTAAAATAAATTTTATTAAATAAAATAATATATTTACTTTTATTAAAAATTATATAACTTATAAAATTTAAGTTATTTTAATTAATAATATAAGTTATAAAGTATTAAAAAGAATATATATAAAGAAATAAATTAATTAATTTTATATAAAGATTTAATTAATTAAAAGACCTTTTATATTAATAATAACTTTTAAAAACTTAAATTATAATCCTTATAAATTAATATATTTATAATTTATTATTATAAAGTAAATCTATTTAAGTAGTATTAATTATATACTTTTATTAAAACCTATTATTAAAGTAACTATTTAAAGTAATAAGAACTTTTAAAATAGAGACTTTAATTATATTATTATATATAAAAAAAGGAGAGGAATTAAATTATATAATTCTTATAATTATATAATTTTTATAAAGCTTATAATATAGGTTTTTATTAAAGTAATACTAATTAAGAGGATATAAAAATATAGAGTGTATAAGGGGGGTTGTGTGTAATATAGTATACTAACTTATTATATACTAGTAAACACTAAAGAGATACCGTCTTTTTGTCTTCTAAAAAGTAAAGTATAATGCAAATCATAATGCAGAGGTAATACAAAACTTGGACACGTGGCTGTAGCCTTGTACCGCATAGACAAGGCTAGGAGGCATCGCTCCTGACGGCAACGCTCATCGTCGACACAAGGTAGCTCGAGGGATAGTGAGAACGTCTATAGATGTGGAAGCCTTGCGGCATGTTTTGTCATGGGTGGATTGCGATTTTGTTTTGTAACCTGAATACTGGCTCCTATTCACCTAGGTACCCTAGGGTACTGAAGGGTCCTTTGCAACCTGCATGAATGATCAATCTACTGGGCATCAAGCGTGATTTCGCCCGTCTTCAAGCCGTCCGCCCGAGCGGTAACAGTGACGGACCCAGAGGAGCCCGTCGGCGCACGCACGATGGCAAGCGCGAGACCCCTAAAAGCTCTGCGTTCCTTGGATGGGAAGGGCGTGAAATCCGTCGGGTCGCCATTGTCAGTCGACACAATCTCACCTCCAGTAACCGAGAAAGTGATGGCAGGTTCGGCAGTGGGCACCACGTCGCCATTGTCATCGCTCACGGCAACAGTGACGAAGGAGAGGTCGCCACTGCCTCGGCCTATAACAGTACGGTTCTGGTAGGTAGATAGAAGTAACTGTGTGGCCTCTCCGGTCGTCCGCACTGTGGCCTCTGCCCACTCTTCTCCGTCCTTGTAAGTCTTGACGTGAACCTCGCCAGGCTGGTAGGTGACGTCGTCCCAGCGGAAACGATAACCCGCCTTCATCTGACGGCCCTGGGACTCTCCATTCACGAACAGCTCGGCTTCATCGCCGGAAGAGAATACGTGGACAGGAGTGACGTCGCCGACACGGTTTGGCCAGTTCCAATGAGGAAGGATGTGGGCATTTCGAACTGTTGGGTTCCAGCGCGACTGGTACAAGTAGAAGCGGTCCTTGGGAAACCCGGCCAAGTCGATGATTCCGAAGTAGCTGCTGCGAGACTGTCCATCGTAGGGTGTTGGCTCACCGATGTAGTCCCAGCCCGTCCAGACGAATTCCCCGGCGACATACGGGAAGTTGTCCTGTGCGTCAAACACCTTGTCGGGCGAGGCGCCCCAAGGGACGGCATACAGCTCATAAGCACTGACCTGGCGGGTTTCTGGATCAGCGCCGGTGCCATTGGCCAGGACGATGGTACTGTTGGCCGGGGTCACCGGAAATAGGTAGGTTCCTCTCGAGCTGACGGCCGAGGAGCTTTCCGTGCTGAAGATCAGCTTGTCCGGGAACTCCCCACGGAAGTTCTGGAATGTCGGGCCGCCGTTGCCCTTGCCTTCACCCTGGTAATTCAGGCCGATGAGATCCACGACAGAGACAAAGGGAGTCTCCGGACCGGCATTATTCATGCCTACTGATGACTGACGCGTCGAGTCCTCATCCTTGACGATGTCCGCAAGACGCTGTGCCGCTGCGGCCCCAGGGGCACCCTCCTCCTGCTCGGCAATCTCGTTGCCGTAGCTCCACGCCCAAATGGAGGGATGGTTACGGTCACGGCGGACAAAAGCACGCAGGTCTGGCTCTGACCAGTCCTCCCACAGGCTCGCGAAATCGTTCTCCGTCTTGTGACTTGCCCAAGTATCAAAGATCTCATCGAGGACAACAATGCCCAAGCGGTCAGCGAGGTCGAGGACCTCGGGTGCTGGCGGGTTATGCGATGTCCTGATAGCGTTCGAACCCATGTCCTGGAGAAGTTGTAGTTGTCTCTCAGCTGCGACGAGGTTGAAGGCAGCACCGATTGATCCCAGGTCATGGTGCTGGCACACGCCCTGCAGGTAGATGCGCTCCCCGTTGATGCGGAGCCCATCGCCGGCGTAGCTGACCGAACGGACACCGAAGCGAGTCTCGTACGTGTCCAGCTCGTGACCGCCTGCATACAGTCGTGTGATGGCAACGTGGAGGTGTGGCTCCTGTGATGGCCTGGGGCCCCAAAGCCTCGGGTTCTCCAGGGTAATGGAGCCGTTTGTTGACTGGATGCTGCCGGCCGCAACGCTGACGTTGGTTATGGGGAACTGTCCAACCTTGTCTCCTGCCTGTCCTGTGGCCGAGTCCAAGACGTGGACATCTGTGACAACTTGAATGTCTGACGCGTCGCCGGCAGTTGCGGCGTTCTCGACCTGGACGGTGAGGTGCAGGGTGGCCGACTCAGCAGAGACATCCCTTGAGGTGACGTAGGTGCCCCACTGGCCGACATGGACGTTGTTGACCTTGGTAAGCCACACGTTTCGGTAGATGCCGGCGCCAGGATACCAGCGAGATGAATCGAGGTCCTGGTCAAGGCGGAGGGCCAGCTGGTTCTCTCCTGGCCGGGCGTAAGGGGTGAGATCCAGACGGAAAGAGGCGTACCCGTATGGCCAACCACCCACGAGCTGTCCATTCAGCCAGACAGTGGCATAGGACATGGCGCCATCGACCTCGAGGTAGATGGTCTTGTCCCGGTCGGCAGGTGCGACGTCGATGGTCCGACGATACCAGCCAATTCCCTGGATTGGCAGACGGCCCATGTTGCCACCAACTGGGGGATCGGAGCCTTCATAGAAGGGCCCCTTGACGGCCCAGTCATGGGGCAAATCCAGGGCCTCCCATGTGCTATCATCAAAGGAAGCCTGGGCGTATGTGACGTTGTCGGGTCGTCCGGTAGGTGGCTGGGTGTGAAGGGCTGGGTCGGCAATGAAGTTATTGGCGGCGGGCAGGATCCACGGCTTCAGCCGGTCGTAGCTGAGGCCGTCGGGGTTGGCCTCGAAGCGTTCGAAGCGCCAGCCGGCATTGATGCTGAGCCGCTGGCGGGCAAGATGGAGAGAGGCATCCTCCTGGCCGGGGGTGGCGAGGCCCAGAGCTGCAAGACCTGTTAGTGTGAGGGCGAGGAGAGCCATCTTTGGTGATGATATGAAGCAGCACCGAGGCACCTGCGCGGGGCGTGTGTCTTGCCCGTCCCAGGTGCCCTTTATAACATTTGAACTTGCCTGGCAGTGTGGGCGCCTCGACATGGCGCCCCGTCGTCCACACGTTGCCCATGACGCGCGCGGGTCACGGCAGCATGGACACGCCCCCGCTTCTTGTGGGATCACGTAGTGTTCGTTATTGGGGCGCTAATGCTCGACGACTTGGCATCCACTGACCAAGTCCAAGATCATGTCCTCAGCACGAGATGAGGTCAAGGTCGAAGCAACCAGCTGCCACTGACCAGCAAACAACAAGGAGTGGAGCAACGGCCCGCGCTGCCCCGAGGCAACCTGGCAACCTGGGGAGCCCCTCCCTTTGTACTGTACCCGCCTGCCTACTAATAAGTACTCAGGCAGGTACGAGGTGGTCCAGGCAGGTACAAGACATCCCCGACGGTAGGACGGCCGACAAGAAACGGCTGGGTACCTAGATACCTGGGTACCTAGGTACTCGCTTGAAATAAGTAACTTGTACGACATCAACTCTTGGCTCCCCTCCCCGTCATGCCGAGCATACCTAGGTACCTACCACACGTCGCGGCACTTTCCCGAGCCAGACATCTCAAGTGCCCATTACCAGTCAAGCTGCTGTTCTACGTGTGTTCCACAATTGCCTTTACTGCCACTGCTGCCCAGCTCCTCCTTTGACCATTCGTACACCCCTCCTCGGCCTCGAAATTCCTCTTGGTTCCAACGGATGGATCTCAAGGCGTCTTCCACACCCCCTTCAACAATGCTCCTTGACTTGACTTCCTTGTTCGTCCCCGCCAGAAATCGCAAGTACTCGCACCATGGGTTAGGAACAGTACTTAAGCGATGCCAAAAGTCTGGTCCGCGGTACTCACCTCGTCCAGTATAAGGTAGCTCTCCGCCATGGCTGCATTGCTTTCCGGCACGAAGCAACCCAAGTGCTCATGTCTCTTGCAAAAGAGCTCAAACTCGTCGTCTTTGATCTCGAAGTGCCTCACGTCACGCAAGGTCTCCTCAGAATCATTCTCGCCCTCTACTCTGAGCACTTGGAAGCACTTCCAACGAAACGGTTCCAACTCTGCGACGCGCTTGGCCATGTCCTCGTCAAAGTTGTAACGGCAAACGACTGTGTTGAGCTTGAACTTTATGCCATACTCTCGGCACCAGTCTCGGATGCGAAAGAGCTGCCTCACGTTGTCTCCGCTGCCACGGCCAATTTTCACATTCGTGGCTTCGTCGAATGAGTCGCACGAGATGGCCAGTATATCCAGGTGGTCTCCGTACTGCCGCAGCCACGACTTTGGGATCAAACTGCCATTGCTGACAATGGACACGCTCTCCAGCTCGAGCACCTGCTTTCCGAATAAAACAAGCTCACCTGAAACTTGGTTAGACAGCCTACGGTAGGACCTGCTCAAGTCGTACGTACCGAGATACTTTGGGTAGAGGAAGGGCTCGCCGCCCGCAAAATTGAGCTTCCTCATCCCTGCCTTCTTGAGCAGACTCAGGCCATGTTTTGCCTCCTCGAGTGACGCAACGTGTGAAGTCTTGGCCGTGTGAAAGCAAAATCCGCACTTTTTGTTGCACTTTCTGGTGAAGTGATAATTGACAGAGATCGGAACTGGACCACGACTGAGGTGCCGGTAGGTGAGATGGGCCAATACGACCAGAAACAAAATGATGAGTGCAATGCCGGTCTTGTGTTGACGGAGAGCGGACATGTCGCCAAAGCGTGGCACAACGAGGCTTGTGCGGATAGATTGCATGCGAAGTGAGTTGATGGCAACACAGCCCCCGTCTACTTTGCTGGCCAGGCCTTCGGAGGCTATAAAAGTATACGTTGTGCTTGCCATGACTAGAATCATGTGTGCTGCTTTCAAGTTTTGGTACCTCGTACTGTGTGGGTCATGAATAGTCTGCTCCTGGGTTGCAAACAAATTGAGCAACAGCAGTTTCGGGCGACACTCCTGCAGACAGGAAATGTAGCTCGCCTCCAGAGGCAACCTTGGAAGCCGGTCAAATGCAAGTAGCGCAGTCATGTGGCCCCTGGTCCCCTTTGTGACCTTCGCATCCAAATTGCAATCACAGAATAAAGATGTGGATGTTGCCAGCTTCCAAGGTTAGTACCTAGGTATACTAGCCTTAGAATCAATAGCACCGTCGGGAGTAATAGCTCCAAGTTCTTGCCCCATCTGTGTGTGTGCGGTATCAGGCTGAGGCCACCTACCCATAGAGACTTCCTGTATTGTTATTGGCATATTGGCATTGTGGCTTTTCGTTTCTCTTTCCAGACACTGGGTCTTTGAGCGTTTACCACCATCCGAATTAAGGATGCGACCACTTAAAAATCAGTTGCCCGGTTTGCTGCATTGTAGTGTGAAAACAGATGTGACCAACCATACCGGGAATAGAACAAAGGATGCGGCGTTTGTTTGCAAACCAGATATCAGTGAATGTGGCACGACGCCAGGACGCCCAAGCTCCGCACTTCCTCCGAAAAAAGCCAGTACAGGGAAAACTAGCACTTTTTGACCAAGACCTGTCTGACAACGATGGTTGCAGCACTCAGATCTTCCGCCATGGCACCGCGCGTGCCCCTACACCTAGTAGGCCGCGGTGCATCCTCTGCACCGTTGTGTTTTTCAGTGGTGCCTCGACTTATTTCACTGTACGCAAAGCAGCAGACAAGCCCCTTCACCAAATCCCAAGCGCCGAGATTCGTGCCCCGACTATCGGTTTTGGAGGTTGAGCGCAAATTTACTCCTACATCGGCTTCGATCCGCCAGCTCGACCAGAACGCCGGCGAGCCACCGTTCAAGTCCGTGTTACAAACGGGTGTGACCTGTTTCGAAGACACATACTACGACACTTCCGATGATATCCTGTCTAATGCCGGTGTATGGATACGCTGCCGCAAGAAGTTTGAGTGCGGCAGGCTGCGTTTCGCACCAAACGCGAGCGACCCAAGCAGTCCTCATGCTGTATCCTGGGAGGCAAAGATCCGCCTCGGCGGCAACTTCATCAACTCCGCATTCGGGGAGATCACCGACATGCAAGAGATCCAGGCCACTCTCAGCAGCCTGGTACCAGGCGCTAAGCTCGACGGACAATATGGGCCGCGGGGCGGACACATACGGGAACTAGCGAGGTTCGTTACCAACAGGACGAGCTATCTGGTCGATGGCAAATTCACCGTCATCATCGACGTGACGGATTTCGGACACACCGTAGGCGAGGTAGAGCTGGAGACGGAAGCCTCCGAGACATCGTGTGAGGGCGCTGGCAGGACATTGGCGATTGCCGCCATGGGCGAGGAGGTGGCAGATCTCATGAGACGATTCGCTTGGGCGTTTCCTCCGGGAACCCCGGTTGGGAAACTTTCCGCGTACTTCGACTACAGGGCCAAACAATGACTGAGTGAGTGAACCACACTGAGTACCTGGGTATGACGACCACCAGAGAAATTTCAAAACGACACTGGCCATTCAAGGCTTTGGGGCCCAAGACGCCACCTGGGCACCCTGCGCGACAAGTACAACGGGTTGAAATAACTGCTGGCAATTGAGCCATAAAGTCGCAATCTCAAGAGAAAGAATGGAGAATTTTCTGTCCCAAGTTTATTCCTCACGTCATAGTCCAGGTATTCCTTTAAGCTTCCCAGTCATTGGTTCAACTAGGGCCTCATCCTCTGAACTGTTTCTTCGCGGACTCATTGAGCCCTTCCGGAGATCTAAACTGTTTCGGCACAAGCTCTTACCCAAATACATACTTAAGTAAAGTCTTTGTTGCATCGACCAAGTAGGACTACTTCCTCAGCCATGGGTGAGTGACACAAGTTGGTGGTGCAGCCAGGCTCTCTTCATGGTGCACCTGGGGTCATTCCGTTCCGCAACGCTCGAATTTGAGACTTCTGCATCATCAGACTACCCGCGGCCTTTGCAGACTTCACCAGCGCCCCGCAGATGTATTTACTTGCATTCTCTCTCAGTTTAATCAAACTAACGAGTTTTGCCCACTTTTCCCCTCACTATCCCCTATAGCAACGGTCCTGAAGACTTTCCTACAGTACTGCAGAACTTGTGTGGCTGGCAAAATAGCGGTACCTGGGGGATTCCAGCGTGATGTGACGGTAAGGCTTTATAATTGCTAGATTTTAAGTTTGTGGACTTGGAATTGTGGTCTTTTGGCCGGGGTGTCTGTGGTGTGGCAGTCCAAGGGTCCGTCTCATATAAGACATTCATTGTGTGAAGACTCTTAATATTATTAGAGTTCTAAGACTATAAGAGTCTTTTAAAGAGATTAGATATTTATAAGGTAAGGAATAGATAATATAAAGTAATAAGTATTATTAGCTAATTATAGTCTATTACTTTACTTTATTATATAACTTTTAATAATAATATAATATTTATATATTATTAAAAATAATTAATTAATAAATTAATTATTATAATTTTTAATTATATATAATTTTATTTTTATTTTATAAATATTTAAATATATATATAATATTTTTATATAATAAAATATAATATTAATAATTTCTTTAAAATATAAAATTAAAAGATTTATTATTATAAAACTTTAATTAATTTAATTTAATTATTATATTATAATTTAATTTAATTTAATTTTTAATTTTATTTAAATTTATTTTAAAATTTATTTAATATTTTTAAAATAAATTAAATTTAAATTAAAAGTTTTAAATTTAAATTTAAAAGTTTTATAAATTTTAATTTATTTTAAATTAAACTTATAATTATTTAATTTTTAAAAAATAAAAGTTTATTTTATATAATTATAAATTTAATTATTAATAATTTTTTTATAAAATTATTATAATTATAAATTTAAAATAATAATAAAATATAATTATTTTATTTAAAAGTTATATTTTAATTTAATAATATAATAAATTAAATAATTATTTTAAATATTTTTATTTAATAATTATTTATTTATAAAATATAATTAAAATTTATATATATTTTTATATAAAAATTAATAATTTTATTTTTATATAATTTAATTAATTTATTTAAATTATATAATAATTTTATATTTAATATTTAATAATATTAAAATTAAATAATTTATAATTTATAATAATTTTAATTTTAATAAATTAATAATATTAATTTAAATTAATATATTAATATAAAAATATTTTTAGTAATAAATAATTTTATAAATATAAAAGTTTTATAAATTATTTATATTTTTAATTTTATTATTAAAAATAAAATAAAATAATTAATATTTTAAAAATAAAATATAATATATTTTTAAAATTTAATTTAATTAAATTTATTATATAAAATATTTTATAAAAACTTTATAATTTATATTTATAATATTATTTATTATTATAAAACTTTTTTATATTAATATATTAAATTTTATTTAATTAATTTAAATTAATATTATTAATTTTAATATAAATAAATTTATTAAAAATTAAAATTATTATAAATTATAAATTATTTTATTTTAATATTATTAAATATATATATAATATTATTATATAATTTAAATTTTTAAATTAATTAAAATAAATAAAATAAAGTTATTATTTTTAATTAAAATTTTAATTTTATTTAAATAAATATTTATTTATTATTTTTATTATATTATAAATAAAATTATTTAAAATAATTATTTAATTTATTATATTATTAAATTAAAATATAATTTTTAAATAAAATAATTATATTTTATTATTATTTTATATTTATAAATTTAATAATTTTATTATAAATAAAAATATAATTATTAATAAATAAATTTATAATTATATAAAATAAATTTTTATTTTAAAAATTAATATTATTTAAAATAATTAATATATTTTAAAAAAATTAAAAATTTTAAATTTAATTTAAAATAAATTAAAATTTATAAAAATTTTAAATTTAAATTTAAAAACTTTTTAAATTTAAATTTTTTAAAAGAAATATTAAAAAATTTAAAAATTAAATAAAATTAAAATTAAATAAAATTATAATAATATAATATAAATTATTTATATTTTTAATTTTATTATTAAATTAAAATAAATAATTAAAATTTTAAAAAATAAAATATAATATATTTTTCAAAATTAATTTAATTAAATTTATTATATAAAATCTTTTATAATAATTTTATAATTTATTATATTTATAATATTATTTATTATTAAAAATATTTTTATATTAATATATTAAATTATATTTAATTAATTTAAATTAATATTATTAATTTATTAAAATAAAATTATTATAAATTATAAATTAATTTAATATTAATAAATATTATATATAAATATTAAATTTATTATATAATTTAAGTTTTTAAATTAATTAAATTAAATAAAATAAAATTATTATTTCTTTAATAAATATAAGTTTTTATAAAATATATATAAATTTTAATTTTATTTAAATAAATATTTATTTAATAAATTTAAAAATTATTAATTTTATTATATTATAAATAAAATTATTTAAAATAATTATTTAATTAAATTAAATAATAATTTTTAAATAAAATAATTATATTTTATTATTATATATAATATTTTAATTTATAATTTTAATAATTTTATAAAAAATTAATTAATAATTAAATTTATAATTATATAAAATAAATCTTTTTAAATATAAAATTAAAAACTTATAATTATAATTTTATAATTAACTTTTTATTTAATTATATTATATTATTATAATTTTATTTAATTTTAATTTTATTTAAACTTTTTTAAATTTTTAATATTTTTTAAAAAAATTAAATTTTAAAAACTTTTAAATTTAAATTTAAAATTTTATAAATTTTAATTTTTTATATTAAATTTATAATATTTTAATTTGTTTAAAAATATATTAATTATTTTAAATATTAATAATTTTTAAATATAAAATTTTATTTTTATATAATTATAAATTTAATTATTAATAATAAATTTTTTATAAAATTATTAAAATTATAAATTTAAATAATATATATAATAATAAAATATAATTATTTTATTTAAAAATTATTTTTAATTTAATAAATTATATAATAAATTAAATAATTATTTTTAAATAACTTTATTTATAATATAATAAAATTAATAATTTTTAAATTTATTAAATAAATATTTATTTATAAAATAAAGTTAAATTTTTAATTAAAAATAATAATTTTATTTTTATTTATTTTAATTAATTTATATTTAAATTATATAATAATATTATATATAATATTTAATAATATTAAAATTAAATAGTTTATAATTTATAATAATTAAAATTAATAATATTAATTTAAATTAATTAAATATAATTTAATATATTAATATAAAAATAGTTTTTAATAATAAATAATATTATAAATAATTATAAAGTTTTATAAAATATTTTATATAATAAATTTAATTAAATTAATTTTTAAAAATATATTATATTTTATTTTTAAAATTTTAATTATTTATTTTAATTTAATAATAAAGTTAAAAATATAAATAATTTATAAAAATAAATTTTTATTTTAAAAAAGTTTATTTTTATTTAAAATAATTAATATATTTTTAAAAATTAAAAAGTATAAATTTTAATTTAAAATAAATTAAAATTTATAAAAATTTTAAATTTAAATTTAAAAGTTTTAAAATTTTAATTTTATAAAAAATATTAAAAATTAAAAAAATTAAATAAAATTAAAATTAAATAAAATTATAATAATATAATATAATTAAATAAAATAATTATAAAATTATAATTATAAATTTTTAACTTTATATTTAAAAAATTATTATTTATAATTTATTATTTATATTATATTATTTAAACTTTTAAAACTTTTATAAATATATAAATTAATTTAATAATAAAAGTTATTTAAAAATATAATTATTTTTAAATATTTAAATATTTTAAAATTTAAAATAATAATAATAATAATATAAATTATTTATATTTTTAATTTTATTATTAAATTAAAATAAATAATTAAAGTTTTAAAAAATAAAATATAATATATTTTTAAAATTTAATTTAATTAAATTTATTATATAAAATATTCTATAAAACTTTATAATTTATATTTATAATATTATTTATTATTAAAAATATTTTTATATTAATATATTAAATTATATTTAATTAATTTAAATTAATATTATTAATTTATTAAAAATTAAAATTATTATAAATTATAAATTATTTAATTTAATATTAATAAATATTATATATAAATATTAAATTTATTATATAATTTAAATTTTTAAATTAATTAAAATAAATAAAAATAAAATTATTATTTTTTAAAATTTTAATTTTATTTAAATAAATATTTATTTATTAATTTTATAAATAAAACTATTTAAAAATAATTATTTAATTTATTATATAAATTAAATAATTAAATAAAATAATTATATTTTATTATTATATATAATATTTAAATTTATAATTTTAATAATTTATAATAATAATAATAATATAATATTTATATATTATTAAAAATAATTAATTTATAAATTAATTATTATAATTTTTAATTAAATAATTTAAATAATTAATTAATAATAATTATTTTTATTATATATATAAATATATTAAAATTATTATTTATTTATTTAATAATTATATTTATTTATTTAATTTTATTAATTATTTATTTAATATTAATTTTTAAAATAATTTTTATATTTATAAATATCTTTTAAATTAATATTAAAAACTTTATAATATAATTCTTTCTTTAATTTTTAATATTTTTAATATAAATTTTTTAATACCCTTTTAATACCTTTTTAATACCCTTTACCTTTATTTTTATCTTTATCTTTACTATTTAAGTTATATATATTTAAATATTAATTAAATATTTAAATATTAATTAAATATTAAAAGGTTAAAAGTTAAAAAGATAAAAGTAAAAACTATACTCTTTCTAACCTTTCAATACCCCTTTTAACCCTTTAATACTTTAAATTTTTAACCTTTTAATATTTAATTAGTATTTAAATACTTAATTAATATTTAAATATATATAGGTTAAAAGGTAAAGGTAAAAATAAAGGGGTGCTAGAAGGGGTATTAAAAGGTGTGCTAAAAGGGGTATTAAAAGGTATGCTAAAAGGGGTGCTAAAAGGTATGCTAAAAGGGGTGCTAAAAGGTATGCTAAAAGGTATATAAAAAGGGTTTATATTAAAAGTATTAAAAATTTAAAGAATTATAATTAAATATATAGTTTTATATAAGTTTTATATATAAATTCTTATATTAAATAAATAATTAAAAAAAATTAAATAAATAAATATAATTATTAAATAAATAAATATTAATTTAATATATTATTATTATTTTAAATTATAATTAATTAAAAAATTATTTAATATTTTTAATTATATAAACTTTTATATAAAGTTTTTTATATTTTTATATAAAATTTTATTTTTTATATAAAATTTTATTTTTTATATAAAAGTTTATAAAAATATTAATTAATTATTATAAATTAATTCTATTATAAAAACTTTATTAATAATAAAAAATTTAAAAATTTAAAATAATTTTAAATATTTTAATATAAATTAAAGTATTTTAATTAATAATAAAAAATTATAAATTATTTAATTAAAAATAAAAATAAAATAATTAAAATTTAATAATTAATAAATAAATATATAATTAATAAATATAAATTAAAATTAATATATTAAAAATATTTATATTTATACATTAATTATATTTTTATATAAATATTTATTTTATAATTATTTATTTTAAAACTTTAAATAAAATATTTAATTTATAATATATTATTTTTAAAAGTTTTATAATATAATATTAAAACTTTTTAAAAGGAATTTATAAAAAAAATTTAAAAAGTAATAAATTTATTTTTTTTAAAGTTTATATTTTTATTATTAATAATTATTAACTTTTTAAAAGCTAATATCCACTTATTTAGTAATTATATCTACTCACCTAGTTTCTACTAACCGCTTACCTAGTACTAATTTTTCTAAGTAATTCCTTTACGTTTATAAGTACCTTCTAAGTTAGCACCGAGAGACCCCATAGCACGATTTCCTTCTCCAATTTCAATACTTTCGGTACAAACCCCTTCTACACCCCTTCTGCAACGCCTTCTAGCACGCCTTCTAGCATGCCTTCTAGGCCTTCTGGCCTGCACGCATTCAGGTACCAACTGAGCATTTAGATGCTAACTGAACGCTAAAAGGCCAGAAGTCTAGAGGGCTAAAAGGCTAGAAGGAGGGCCAGAAGGCTAGAAAGCGTATAGTCTTTACCTTCGCCTTCTTGGCTTCTAGCCCTCTAGCGTTCAGTTAGCATCTGAACGCTTAGTTGGTACCTGAATGCGTGCAGGCCAGAAGGCCCAGAAGGCATGCCAGAAGGCGTGCCAGAAGGCGTGCCAGAAGGCGTGCCAGAAGGCGTGCCAGAAGGCGTGCCAGAAGGCGTGCCAGAAGGCGTGCCAGAAGGCGTGCCAGAAGGCGTGCCAGAAGGCGTGCCAGAAGGCGTGCCAGAAGGCGTGCCAGAAGGCGTGCCAGAAGGCGTGCCAGAAGGCGTGCCAGAAGGCGTGCCAGAAGGCGTGCCAGAAGGCGTGCCAGAAGGCGTGCCAGAAGGCGTGCCAAAAGGGGTGTAGAAGGGGCTTATACCAAAAGTATCGAAAATTTAGAGAATCCTAGTTAGGTATATAGTTTTATATAGGCTCTATATGTAAATTTTTGTACTAAGTAAGTGGTTGAAAAAAACTAGGTGAGTGGATATAATTACTAGGTGAGTGGATGTTAGCTTACTTTTTAATAATATTAAAAAAATTAAAAAATAAAAAAAATTTAAAGTTTTTAATAAAAAGATTATTATAATATATATATAATTATTAAAGATTTTATATATAAATTTTAAATTATTTAAAAAAATATATATTATTTTATATAAATAACTTTAAAATATATATTAAATAATTATTAAATTTATAATTAAAATATAAATTAATAAATTATTTAAAAATTAATAATAAATAATTAAATAAAATATAATATAATTTAAGTTAGAAATTAACTAAATTATATTTTATTAGTATGTATCGCTATAAGTTCTATAAGTTCTAGCTAGCTGCAAGTTAAGATCCTTGGCGTCGGGCGGGATCGATGCGCTTGGCGTGATAACGCCATCGCGGCTACGAATTTTGCACTCCGCTGCCGTCATTTTCTGTCCTACCATGTGGTGTCCATTAGGTAAAGCAGTTGAGTTATCTCGGCAGATGACATCTGGAGACCAATGAATCGGAGGCGTCCCTCATTGGTCCCGACCGAGTACCTTCGACAAGCTGCTGAGGCTTAGAGCGAACCCACTCGCTATACCTAAGTATAAAACAAAACGATATAACAATAACCCAATCCGCACACAGTCAAAACTTATCTTTCATCACGCCACACCTGGTCACATCTCATCCGCTCCCCGAGCCTTGACAACTGCTTATAACCGACGAGGAAACCGCCGCTTTTTCCCTGCCACAAGTTACGGGCACGCAATCACATTCTAATCACCCGGAGCCAGCTGCCGATATGACTGACTATCGTGCCCCGGACAAGGACTTTCTGGGGGTCGATGCCGTCGGGCCAAGTGGCCTTCATGGAGGCACAATGTCAGAGCCATCAACAGAGGGGGCCACAGGCGACTTCCAGGCCATAGATCCGCACAGTGGCGTGAAAAGAGGACTGAAGACCCGACATCTGTCCATGATGGCGCTGGCTGGCATCATTGGCCCTGGTCTGCTTGTCGGCTCAGGCGGTGCCTTATCCAGTGGTGGACCGGCCGCCCTGCTGATCGGATTCGGTACTATCGGTATCCTGGCCTTCTCCATAATGCAAAGCTTAGGGGAGCTCACGACGCTTTATCCATCAGGGGGAGCGTTTACAGCTCTGGCAGATCGTTTCGTGGACAAGGCATTTGGAGTAGCAGTGGGCTGGAATTATTTCATTATCTGTAAGCGATCTGGGTGTCTTATCCTTACCATCTTTTTTTCTGGAAATGTCCAACGAGCACAAGACGAGTTTCATCCATCGGCCCGCATGTCAGCCGTTCTGGTATACTAAGGCTCACGTCTAACGCTCCATAGGGTTCGCAGTTCTGGCGAATGAATACAATGCTATATCCAGCATCTTGGTATTTTGGAGTGATAAAGTGCCTCTGTGGGGATATTTCCTTTTGTTGTGGGTAGGTTCCAACAGGTGGGTGCACGCACCTTCGACCGGCCCATGATCCCGCTTCTGTCTGACTGCCTGCTTACACGTCATAGTTTGCCTTCCTTGGCTTCCAACTCCTTGGTATCGAGACATTCGGTGAAGCCGAGTTCTGGCTTGCCCTCGTCAAGCTTGGTGGCCTCGTCGCATTTTTCTTGTTCTCCATCGTGTACGCTTCGGGTGGTATTCACGGCGTTCCGGGTCCAGGTTTCAAATACTGGCATGATCCAGGTGCATTCGCCAACGGATTTCGTGGTGTTGCCACGGTCTTCGTGTTTTGTTCTACTTTCTACGCTGGCTGTGAGTCGGTCGCCGTTGCCGCCACTGAAACCAAGAATCCGCGGGTCGCAGTACCACTGGCGATTAGACAGGTCTTCTGGCGCATTGTCTTTGTAAGTCCCTACCTCTACCTAGATAGGTAGCTTGTTGGACTGAACCTACAAAATCTTGGCATAGCACTGCCAGTGGGTCTGAGGCAGTTTACAACTAGGCATACTATTCTGAATCTCAACCCCCAAAATTCAACATAATCAGTCCATTGGTCTATTGCTAACTCCAAATGCTGCAGGTGTATATGGGATCAGCCTTCTTCTTCGGCTTAACATGTCCATCTGACGCGGAAGGGCTTGTCTCGGCTAAAAGCAAGGCATTGCAGAGCCCAATGACAGTCGCCCTTAAAAACGCAGGCTGGGAAGGAGGCGTTCACCTGATCAATGCCTTCATCCTCATTACCTGTCTCTCGGCAGTCAATAGCTCCATCTACATTGGCAGCCGTACGCTGCTCTTCATGAGCCAGGACGGGAAAGCTCCACGCATCCTAGGCTGGACGGACAAGCGAGGCGTTCCAGTTCCCGCGATCGTTTTCACTAATGCGTGCGGTGCATTGAGCATGATGAATGTGTCGACCGGAGCCGGAGCGGCGTACAGCTACATCGTGAATCTATCAGGTAAGCAGCTTCCGGATGCAATGTCTACCCTTTCAAGAATGAACATCTTCTATTCTTAGCTTGCAGAGTAAAGCTTTAGTGGCTATAAGTTTGTAAGATATGCCATATTTGTCTTATAGCTTATTCTTTCTCATGTTTATATAAAACTAGTTCTCTAATTCTCAAATGGCTAACTCTTAATACTACAGGGTAAGCAGCTTCTAGATATACTTTTTTTTTACAGTTTTTCAACAAGTGTCCCCTAGTCCTAAGTTGTGAAATGAAGACTTTAGGGGCTGAAGGTCTTGGGATTTACCATAGCTACCTTTTGGACTACTCTTTAATAAGTTGGTACAAAGCTGGTTGTTCGATGGCTAACTCCTAACACTGTAGGGTAAGCACGTTTCTCGTCTGGGGAAGCATCAGTTATATCCACATCAAATTCCGGAAAGCGTGGAAAGTACAGGGATATGCAGAAACAGATCTGCCATTCAGATCCGCCTGGTATCCTTGGAATGCTTACTTCGGTCTCGGAGCCAATATCTTCCTGGCCCTTGTCCAGGGATGGACTAATTTAAGCCCGTTCAATGCCGGTGGATTTTTGGATGCTTATATTCTCCTGCCGCTGTTTCCCATCATCATCTTTAGCTACAAGTTCTTGTACAAGACGAAATTCTGGAAGGCGCACGAGATTGACTTGCATTCTGGAAGAAGACATGATATGGAGGAGGCCGGAGGATTTTCAAATGCCTCCTCATCAGCCAACCGTCTATGGTGGCAGAATGTGTGGGAGAAATTCTAGTTGTACCAATGTCCGACAGGTGGCGGTACATCTACATATGTACCCATTCCAAACTCCACACACACAGCCTGAAAAGCCCGAGTTTGAGACATACCAGCAGGGAGTGTGTTACTGATAGCTTAAACACAGTGACAATTAACTTAAGCATGCGCAGCTAGCAGGGCGAGTTATCAGAATTTACTAGAAAATATTATTTCTAGTATAAGATAACTTGATAGAGCCTGAAGGCTTTTCCTTCTCAAGGGGGAAAGCGGTAGTTTATTCTCTTGCTTAGGATCCTGCGGATATCTGGCGCTTACCTGAGGCTGAAAGTTTCCACCTGTGTCCTTACCAAGGCAAGAGGTTTGAAGGAACTATACTGGATTGCCAGGCCGAATATCGGAAGCGATGCAGACTGTGAGGCAACGATGACAAATTTGATCAAGAACAGCAATCATCCAGCACAATGCCTCAGACCAATGATTTTCGAATGTCGGCGACCATCTGGCTTGCTGGAACCGAGTGCAGTCCTGGGTAAAGGTGTTTGCCAAAACCAGGAAGATGAAATTTAGACCAGGGCTCGGACGTGTTTCTCGAGTAGTGTGAGAGGTTGGTGCTCCAGATACCAGCAGGGTTACAGTTTGACGGATTGGCATGGCAGTTCATGATGCGGCGACATGGAAGCAAGGACCTCGGGAGACACTGTCAAACATGTCCAAGCCAGAGCGCCCCCCCAAGTCCTCGTTGAACAAAAAATGCGGTTTCATGTACCGCGGGCTGGCATTGGTGGTTGGCTCAGGGTAGTCATGTCTCGAAACCACTGCGTTCGGAGGATTCAGGATTCATGCATGCGGTTGTCCCTGTGCAAATCCGCAGTCAAGCCGAGGGAGATCTGCATAATCCCCGCAATAGGCTGAGCACAGCTGTTCGTGACTCTTTTCGCCGCGGCGCAACCATGTTTGCAACAGGCCCAGAATTATTATCATCGACGCAGCGTCATTGAATAGGCACACTGTTCAAGGGGAGTGGTTCCCAAAAGAGGCTGGGCCGCGAAAAGAACAATACGAATTCGAGTTTCCCTCACCTGTTGAAACTTGCCCTCAGAATTGTAGTTCTTGAAACCTACTCCATTCCCTCCAGGGCCGACCTTCACATGCGCTTGCCCCCCCCCCCCAGCCTCTCACCTGGGCAGGGCGCCTGGCCTAACGGCTGGTTGTGCAGACCATGGGCCACGGGCACGAGGGTAGAGTTCCTCGGGACCGCTGAACCAGTTGGTCTCAAGTCGTGCGTGCAGACGCCATCTGACATCCTCTGGTCTGATATTTACCCAACTTTCATGCGGAGCTGGGGCCTTCCGAATATACTTAGATTTCGTCTGAAGAGGAGCATTCTTTACGCGAAGATTGCGACTAGTTAGGCGTTTTCGTGAATGTAGTGTTGGATCTAAGATGGCTCCCGTCCAACAGTGACAGCACTGTCAAGATTGTGTCAGTGCTCGGCGACGTTTTCTCCGTGGCAGAATTTTGGGGCTTTAAATTGGGGCTTTTTTTTTTTGGGGGGGGGGGGGTTGGCAGCCTTGAAGGACAGCATTGGGAGCGCCGAGTCGTTCTCAGGATAGAGCCGAAATGCAGGGAGAGGATTCGTGATATCCACGTGACCACCAGAAGGAGCATGAGGGAGCCCCGCAAGAGAGCCCGGATGAGGGAAGGGCCAGGGCTCGGCGGGCGATGACTGCGGTTGTTGATGGCAATCATAAGTCGATCCATAAAGATCTCCCAAACGTTTTGTTCCGTGATCTACGCAACAGGATCTCGCCAATCGCTTTCTCTGGATGCAACATGGCTGCTACACAGTAAACAAGTGGCGGGGATTACGCCACAGAAGAAAAGAACGACCGACCCAACCCCAGCGCCAATCCTTCGGGACGGGGGCACTCGCGTGCAGCTCCGGATTTGCAAACGGCGACGAGGCCATGTGGGCTGTGTGAGGGCTTCCGAGTGCCGAGATGAAGCTTGTGTTGTTGCTGTGCCTCGTGGCCAAGAGTCTTGGGATTTCTTGGAAAGTCTTGGAGGTGCTTCACTGGGCAGCGTCGCATGTCTTTATAGGCGCAGGGCCGACCGAGCCCACAATTTGGTGCAACGCCAAGGGCCAACCCGCGACCTGCCAAGTCTCTCGGCGCCGTGCATAGAGCCCCCTGGACCCCTAGGCGCGGCTGCGAACATCACGGAGCCTCACAGAGCCTCGCCACAGGGTGACGGCCTTGACAGGGGCGGGCGAAGGTGCCATGTTCCTGGTCGGTGCGGGCCGTGATCTGCAGGTCGAGGAGCCTCTCGAATTGTTTGCTGCATTGCGATTCGCTCCCGCAGGAGGCTCTTGGCCGTCGAGTGAGGCTGAGATGGCTCGACGCAGGTAGCGCAGGACATCGCAGACGCCGCCGTCGCCGGGCAAGACACTCCTCCCAGAGCTGCTGAAACGGCTCTATGCTCACTTGTTCAGATGAGGTTTCTGGAGATGGAGGAAACACGAACTTCCGAGTCAAGCCTCGCGGCGACAATGGACGATGAGATGCGTCCGAAGGAGAAAAAGGACGACCAGTCTGTGAAGTCTTGGACTCCCAGAGCTGTATATAACAATCCAGCTGGTTCCTCCCAATCATCAGTCCGAAATAGCCTCTCATCATCAGCTTCATCACCAGCACCCTCATATCCTCCTCTTCGAGTTCGACTCGCCAGGCCCTCCTTCACGCCCTTTCATTCGACTGTAGCCCGGGAGGCACTTCGACCTATTGATTAATCCAGCTTCAACAACAACACCACCAGACTTTGACCTGTTTGACACAGTCACTACTACCTTCCTCCCAACAGATTCCCACTCTCCAAGATGCGTTCTTCTACCTCCGTCGCAGTGGCTTGCTTGGCCGCCTCCGTCTCGGCCCACGGTGTCGTGACCAAAATCACCGGTGCCAACGGTGTTGAGATGCCCGGCTTGACTGGTAAGCATGCTTGCCCTTCTTCTTGATCGTCGGCAACAGTGTTGGGACGGTGGCTGACAGGGGAGGCAAAAACAGTCGCCGATGGCACACCCCGCGACTGCTCATCCAACGGCTGCGGCTCCCAGGCCGATACCGCCATCATCCGGGACCGTGAGATCAGCTCCGGTGCCGTCGGCCCCTTGGGCAAGACCCAGGGCAACGGCCCCGTCGACCCGGCCATGATGATCGGAGTCTTCATGGGAGACATGGACCCCGCCATGGCCCCCACCAACGGTGCCAGCTCGGGTGTCGGTCAGGAGGATGACCTGAGCGCGGCCCCAGGCGGTGCCGCCGCCGGCGGCGCCGGTGGCAGGAACAACAGGAACAACAACAAGATCCGTCAGCTGCTCGCTGGCCTCCTCGGAGGCGGTGGCGGCAACAACGCCCAGGGCACCAAGAGCACCGGACCTCCAGAGACCATGGTCAAGGCCATGGCCGGCGCCGGATCTAGCCAGGGTCTGCCTACCGCCAACGAGGATGGCACCGTCGATGTGACCTTCCGCCAGATCAACCAGGACGGCGCCGGGCCCCTCGAGGCCATGGTTGACGGCACCTCGGGTGGCACTGACATGGCTGCCTTCCAGGAGGCCCAGGTCACCCAGAATGTGCCCGGCCTCGTGGCCGGTATCTCGGCCACAACCACCTCCGACTTCCCCGTCAAGGTGCAGATGCCCGCTGGCACCACCTGTGACGCCACCGTCGGCTCTGCCACCAACGTCTGCGTCATGCGCCTGCGCAACAACACTCCCGCTGGTCCCTTCGGCGGTGCCGTGGCCTTCACGCAGACCCCTGCTGCCCGCAAGAGGGCTCTGGAGTACCGCAAGAAGATGAGGAAGGCTCGTGCATTCCAGGCCTAAATCGTCAGACCCATTGTCAGATGGGGCGAGGCGCTTCGTGGCTGGGAGCGCATCGCACTTGTAAATATGACGGCTTGCAGCCGAGCTCTCGAGGACAGGGGTGCCCAGTTGGGAAAATGAAAGGGCTGTTGATGAGAGAGACCCCCCCGACCTGCAGGTGGCCCTGGAGGCTATGTAACGATCCTTATATATTATTATTAGAGACGACTTGATGAATGCAAATGCTGATGGAAAAGAGCGAGTGAAAGTCCAACCTGGTCATTTGCTTTCGTCATGTGCTCCCAATTCGTCATTAATGTCAAGAGGTATATGAAGAACAGAGACGCTATGTACCATAAAACAACCCATAAAGTAAATTTCCAACCACCATTGATTGTGGTCGCGGTGTAATATTGAAACAATCCGGTAAAAGGACGCAGACGAAATCCATTTTCTGTAACTATATGCGTGCTTGCTGATTTGAAGAGATTCACTTCCGTGCAGTGGACTGCAGCGTCTGGTTATTTCCGGCAATGATCATGTTCAGCGTTGCCAACCAAGCCAAAATGTATCAATAGGGTTGATCCGCTGTGATCGGCAACGGGCCCTTGCTTAGCCCGGTGGATTGCGTGGCCCCACGTCAGTGATACCGGGTGAAATAAAGATTGAAGAGGAATGGCTCTGGCATTTTATTTGCATTAGATATGGACGGTGGATGCACGACATTTCCGATACTTGACAACGCAGCTCACTGCTCGTTCACAAACAGACCTGCCATTCCCATTCCCGTGCCGATGCACATGCTCGTTAGCAAAATCTTCTTGCCGGTCCTACGGCACTCGCTCAGGCCTGTGACAATCTGCCTTGTGCCAGTGGCACCAAGTGGGTGTCCCAGAGCGATGGCTCCACCCCTGGGGTTCATCTTGGCCCAGTCCAGGCCCAACTTGTCGCGGCAGTAGACAGCCATGGACGCAAAGGCCTCGTTGATCTCGATGACATCACAGTCACCTAGGGACAGGTTGAACTGGGCCAACAGCTTGGGGATAGCAATGCTGGGGCCGATGCCCATGATGCGAGGGGCCAGGCCAGCAACGGTCGAGCCAACATACTTGGCAAGGATTGGCTGACCCAGTTTGATGGCGGTGGAGCGCTTCATCAGGAGCACGGCGGCAGCTGGCAAGAACATTGAGGGTTAGCTTGGTTGAAACAAAGCATGCGACACCCAGGAAGGGGATCCTGCGTCTAGTCGACTCACCTCCGTCAGTCACCTGGCTGGCATTGCCACCGGTAGTGGTAGGACCCCATTGTGGGAAGGCAACCCTGATCTTGCCGAGGGTCTCCGCAGTCGTGCCGGGCCTGATGCCCTCGTCCCTGGTCAGGACAACCTCCTTCACCTCGCCGTCAGGTCCCTTGACCTTGGTCTTGATGGGCACGATCTCGTCGTCGAACAGGCCCTCCTTTTGGGCCTTCTCGGCCCGCTGGAAACTCTCGGCGGCATACTTGTCCAAATCTTCCCGGGTAATACCGAAATCCCGACTGACGTTCTCGCTCGTCCAGCCCATGGGCTGCATGGTGTCGGCAGCCTCCTGGCTTTGGGAAGTGACGGCCTCGTCGAAGGGCTTGTCGAGGGCATCGCCGCCGATGGTCATGGACTCGGCACCGATTGCGATACCGATTTCGATATTGCCGGCAGAGATGGCATTGGCGATATCAGCGGTGGCCTTGAGCCCAGAAGAGCAGAAGCGATTGACGGAGGAGGCGCCCGAGACATTGGGAATGCCGGCAGCAAGCGAGGCAGCGCGGAGCTTGTAGGAGGCTTTTGCATCAGAGACCTAGAGGGTGACGGCTGATTAGCGACAGCACAACAAGAAGAGCACCGGCACTTGCATACATTACCGAGGCAAATGTCCTCGATCAGTGCGGGATCCAGGGCCGATCGTTCTTTGACCTCCTTCAACAGGGCATAGACCATATACTCGAGGCTGGTGTCCTTGAAACCCCCCTTCTTTGCCTTGGCCAGCGGCGTCCGGATAGCCAGGGTGATGACTATGTCGTCGGCATTCTTGGAGGTGCTGCCAGGTTGTGACCAGGTCAGTGTTTGTTCACCTCCCATGCACGGAACGCCTGTTCAGGCAGGGAGGACTTACATGGAGGCCAGGGAGCTGCCGGGGGTCAAATGCTTGAGGATAGAGCCCAGTCGTTCTACAGCCATGGTTGATGGGTGTCTTTGTGAGTGTGTGTGCTATGTCTGTTGTTTACGGTGGGATCAAAGAGATCAAAATGGATTGGCTGGGTGGTGGGGGAGAGGAGAAATGGTGGAGAGGGGATGATGCCGCTGATAATAATAATGATGAGTGGTGGACGGCATGTCGAGAGCAAGGTCGGTTCTGGTGTCGGTTCGTGTCGTGTCGTGGCCAAGGTCCGTCCTTGAGCCGGTGTGCCTCGGCAATCTGTCTCTGCCATTTTCCCATCGCCTGTCATACCCTCCGCGGCTCCACGGGGAGTTCCCTGCCCCACCGAGTTCCGACCGCCCAAGAATTGCGGGGAAAGGCATCAATACCTCCCTCCCTACCTAGGTACTTAAGTGGGTACCTAGGTACGGAGTACGGACTAGGCACACATTCACCGTGCAGAAGAGCCTAGGCGGGCTCCACTTAAACCGCCGTTCAACCCTAACCCACGGGTAGCATATACGGAGTACAGAGTACGGAGTACAGAGTAGCCTCCCCCAACAGTGCTTACCTCCCAAGTCTATCTCATTATGGGCATAGCAAGGAACGGGCTTCATGCTTAATGCAAGGCTGATGCGACTTGACAGCCTTCTCCTATCAGCTCCGCCTGGAATTTCTACAGCCAGGCTTGAGCCAAGGGCCAGTACTGATGATATCAGCACCCTTGTAGTCTGGCATGTCGGGGCTCAAGCCTTTCCCTGCTGTCGGATTGGACAGTGACGGCCAGGAAAACACGGCCAATTCCCAAATAAACCACCACAGCACCTTGCCCACGGCAAGGAAGTTGGAACATGTTAGTGTTGTTAGCTGGCTCCTGGCCTGGTTCAGTCCGACCAGACGGCCACAGAATTACACACAAATTCACATGTTCTACCTACCTAGGTGTGGAGGTAGGTACCCAGGTAACTAAGTACCTACCTACCTAGGTAGTTACCTGGGTAGTTGCGGTGGGCTCTGTGGGGACATACTTACGGTCAACATGGTCAACGTGTCAGTCTAATAAGCAGACCCTTGCCTTTGCAGTTTGCCAATCAGGCCCAGCTAGTCGACCACCTGGTTATGAAAGACTGCCCAGCTGCTCAGTGAAAGAGCCCATCCTGACTACTGCAAGCACCCGCAATAAGTAGCACCGTGTCACCCCGACAGCTTGCCTACTCAAGTAGGTACCTAGGTATCCAACCCCTTGGTCCTCAAGTGCTAAACAGCATATGTCTCGTTTCTTGCACAAGACAGCCTGCCAGCCTGCAGGTTGCACTTGCTGTCTACAGTGTGCTCTTACATCAATTGATCCTTTACTTCTTGTGCCGCAGCAGAAAAGTAGAAAGGCAACTAACTCTGCTTGCAATGTCCACACCCGTGTCAAAAGACGGTTCATAGCAGTTCATTTCTCAAAATTCATGGACAAATAAATCACTTTAATCTAGATTGCTAGTTCCAGGGCATAGGATTCACACTGACCTTACACCTAAAGAAGTTAGATATTCATACAATCCTATTTAGATCCTCACACAACTAATCTAACTAATTATACTACTCTATATATATAAATTTATTTTAACTATAACTAACTATATAATTAATTAAAGTTAATATATAAATTAATATTTCTTATTATATTTTTATTAATAAAGTTAAATTATATATAAATAATTTAAATTATAATTTAAATTAATAATATTTTAAATTATAATTTAAATTAATAATATTTTAAATATAATTTATATTTAATTATATAATTACTTTTATTTTTTATTATATATCTTTTTTATTATTAATACTTTTAATAATAATTAATTAATAGTATTTTATTTATTTATATATTACTTTTTAATTAATAATAATATATTAAAAGATGTATTAAAAAAATTATACTTTAATTAATATTTTACTTACTTTATAAACTTTATTACTAGCTATTAATTCTTTTTAATAAATTTCTATTAAATAACTTTCCTTTAAATATCCTTCTAATTTAAAGACTCTAAGGTTAAGTTATTCCACTATTAAATAAAATCCTCTAATTAGCTATAGCTATAATTAGTCAGTTTAGGTATGCAAGAATCCAAACGGGCTTGTATGAATATCTAACTTCCACCTGAAACCAACCTCCTCAGACCAAGCAGGAAGCAGCCGTCCAGCTCTGACGTTGACCCACCCAAACGGACTGCCTCTTGCTCCCAGGGAGCCCTCTTCCTTTTGGAGTGGCCTTGAAAAGGAAAACCACACGGGTTGGTAGGGTTGCAAACAGGGCCACCTCACTCTGCCTTGTCCACGAATTGCATCCGCACGCTTTCCTTCTTCACCACCTGCAGAACGCAGCCAGCGCCCCATATCTGATTGCCCATTGGCCCTCCTGGTCAGACACCCCTGTCCACAGCTGCTCCAACCCACACAGATGGGAAACTTACATGCAGCAGCTGCCATCCGCCTACTTCCTGCCTGACCAAACGAAAAGAAGACGTCGTCCACCAGGTCGGCTCCCAGAACCAACTTCACTTTCCCCCCTCCCTCTTTTACCTCCCACCCTCCACACCTTTCACCTTCCACCTTCTCCATTTCTCCTTCCCACCCTCGACTTTCTTCTCAGCCTCGAGCCCCTCGGTCTGCACCCACTCCATCAGTCTACTTCCTTCAACATGGACCTTGCCAACCCCGAGGCGTTCAAGGCCTGTTATGCCCAATTCAGAAAATCTGATACCGATCGCGATGTCCTCATCACCCAGCTCCTCAGCAGCTATGAGGATCTGCAGATCAGATACCGCAATGTTATGGACCAGCTCCAAGACGAGAAGGAGACCGCTAGGATTTGGCAGAGGGAAACCAGAGATGCCCGCCGACAGCTCAGCCAGTCCAAGCTTGCTAATGTAAGGGCCCTTTTCTCTCTTTGCCCGACTCCTTCGTCGCATTCACCTGCCGTCCCTTGTCTCTTGCCCACCTTGTCGGTGCCTTTGAGTCGGCACCCTTGTCATAGCGCCTTCTCTCACCCTCTTTGCCTCGCCACCGCATCTCTGCATCAAATTGTCACGAGGCCCTCTCCAACTAAAAGCTGCCAGGAATCTCAACCTTTTGTTGTTATGATCATTGATGGCGACGGTGCCAAATTTCGAGACGAGTATTTCAGAAATGGCGATAATGGCGGCGGCCAGGCAGCCCAGCAGCTGAGGACTCAGATCAAGCTCCAGCTCCAGGAGATCTACCCTGATAACAGCACCGACAACTGGAACATCTTGGTCTTCTTCTATGCCAATATGGACGGCCTGGGCAAGGTACTTGCCGCCCGCCGCATCCTTAATACCTGGACCGATCTACAGAAGTTCGCCTCCGGCTTTGGTCGAGCCAATAGCCTCTTCTCCTTTGTTGATGTGGGCTATGGAAAGGATAAGGCCGACCACAAGTGTCAGGCCATGCTGAAGCAGATGCTGCACACAACTTCATGCCGCCATGTCTTCTTCGGGCCCTGCCGTGATAATGGATACCTAAACCTGCTGGAGGAGTACAAGCACGATCCCATCAAGAAGGAGAAGCTCACCCTGGTCGCAACTGAGCCTGCGGGGCCGGGGTTTGTCAGCCTCGGCTTCACCATTGTCACTTTCCCCGGTGTCTTTCGAGCCGAACCTCTGGATACCGCAGGCTCCCGACACCCACTGTCACCACTGTCACCAACTGGTCTTGATATAGGCATTCAGCCATTCCCACCTGCCCCAGGCCTGACTCCCGCCCCCGACCAGTATGATGTATCAGAGGAGGTATCCAACGGCTCAGCGCCATCCACCTCGAACGGCAACGGAAGTGCGACCGGAAATGCCAACGGTGCTGCGTCCACCTGGGCCGTGACTGCCAAGCTTAGTAATGGTCCGATCATCGACATCTACAGCAAGCAAAAGCCTCCGCCGAAGCTCAAGTACGCACTATTCAACGCTTCCAACCTGCGGGTCGACGAGCGCCTCCCCGTGGCGGATCCAACGGCAATCAGGTCCCTCGAGAATAAGGCCCGGGTCCAAGGTTCCAACTTCTGTAACCACTACCATTTGAGCGGCAGGTGTGAAAAGGCCGAGAACTGCGAGTATCAGCACGACGCAAAGCTTTCGTCTTCAGAGCGATTAGCGCTGTGGCACAAGAGCCGTGGTATCGTGTGCTCCGATCAGCAGTGGTGTGACAGTCCGTATTGCCTGAGTGGACACCATTGCAAGAACATCTACGACGGTCGACCTTGCCTCTGGGGTGCAAGATGCTTTTTCAAGGATACACATGAGGCTGACGTCAAGGCAACTCTAAAGGTTTTTGAGGATGGAACCCGCGAGATCCTCGCGATTTGACGGCAACCTATAGGAATAACTTGAGCTTCTGACAAGCGATGTCTATAGTGGGTTGAGACTTGAAAAAAAAAAAAGAAATATCAATATTGCTAGGCCCAAAAAGGTTACGTGACTGGGCCAACCGCGACACTGGGCTCGTTTCTCCATACATTAATGATATTCCGGAAATCCTGACATCCATTTCAGCCTCCCTGCGTGACATTTTGCTTCTCATTTCGCCTCTTATGTGGATTCAAGAAGTCCGTCTGGGCGTCCCGTCAGACTTCTTTGTCCCCAGTAATTGTGGTTTGATAGGCACATCTGATGGTTCAAGTGTTTTCGAAATAATCGTGAACACCCCAGGTGCCGCCCGCACACGTGGCCTACTTGGAGGCAATGGTCCAAGTGGGGAGGGGCCGGCCGAGGACCCAACTACCATCACATTAAGTATTGTTTGAATTTATGCCTCCATAGAAAAAAGTATCCTAGGGAGGTGACTATTTTCCCTGCACTGGGGTCTATATCCGGATAAAGATCAATGGATGCAAACCACCTGAGTGCGCCACACCTGCGCGGTGTCCTCGGGACAGCCATCAGCGGAACATCCCGTTGAAGTCAACTGGTTCTGCCCGGTTGATCATCGAAGAACCTAGGTCGCACAGTCTTCCAGTACCTCAAGTGCTGTCTTGATACTTTCGCCAGACAAGAAAGCTTAGTGATCAGCTCTGAATCATTAGCTGAAAAAAATCTATGGGTGTTAAAAAGAAATTATTTAAAACTTATAATTATAATAAGAATATAGGTAATATATATATAAAATTTATATTAATAATTATAGTGTATATTTTTATAATAATATATATTATAATTTTATTGAATTTATTATTAAATAAATAAAGTTTATATTCTTTAAAAATTAATTATATTATAACTTATAATATTTTAAACTTAATATTAATATATAATATATTATTTTCTTTAATATTTAAACTATTAAAAAGCTTAGTAGTAAAAATAATTTATAAAGTAATATTTAGAGTAAGTCTAGGATTGTTGATAGGTCATCCCACTGTAGATAGCAACTCTGGGGTGATGGTGACAATATTGGACTAATAGGAAAGATGTTGTTGGAAGTCGGGCTTGCTGACTCAGCGATGGCCCCATCTTCGCTTCGGGGTGTCGGCAATAGTACGTATTACGGTGGCCCAGGCGTGATACGGAGTACGGGATTACCGTATCATTGTCCGCAACGCAACAGGTCTCGTCTCGTCTTGTCTCCTTGGCCGCGCCCTCCTGACACTGGCCCATCTTCTTCCAACAACCATGGCCGCATAGCACCAAGCCAATCCTTCCTTCTACACTCTCCTCGATGAAGGCAACATCAGCGCTACTCAAGAGCGCCGCCTCTTTGTCGTAATCACTGTAGCTTCTACTCTCTGACTACAGGCCGTCACTCCTTTCTGCGCCTTGGCTTCGCCACCATCTCGACTCGACCCGGCTCGGTTCGGATCCGTCGCCCTCAATCGCTCCACAACCTCTCCCCAAGTGTTATCACAAACCAACACGACGACCCGCCGCATGCCTGCCCTTCCCCCATGACGACGTATACCAACCATGGCCCCCAACAAACACGATCATCGCTACGATGCCCTTCCCCCCATCCCGACCTACGATGAAGCCATTGGTGGCAATAGCCGATCCGCCCTTGATGGGACCGACCACGACCGCACCGCTGCTTCGCCCTACGATGCGCACAACGACAGTGATTACGACTCCGATGGCCTTCCCAACACCCGTGGCAGCTCTGGCGCCACTCACGGTGCGGCGCGTTCGCAACGAAGGCCGGGTGGCTACCGACCGCCCACGGTCGAGACTGATGACGAGGACTCGGGCTCAGAGGCTGGAGCAGAGGATGACCTAGTGCGGAGGGAAATGCAAGAGCTGGAAATAGACGACGGCGCAAGCACCCGCTCATCGTTATGGTCAAAGCGGATACCATTCTCGTTATCTCTCCCGCAATGGAGGTGGTCTTGGCGCTGGCGATTACCAAAACTACCATCCATACGACTGGGCGAAGGCGCGACTGGCGGAAGCAGCACGGACAATGAGACGCCGAGATGGCGTTGCTTCCCAGGACTAGACTCCACCGCAACATTCCTCTTGGTCGGGCGTGTCCTGGCCATCCTGGTCGTCATGGGTTTCCTCTGGCTCTTGCTCATGAGCGACCTCTTCTCCAATATGACTCGGCGCCTAGGCGGCGGCCAGATGTTCGATCCCGAAAGTGTCCGCATACATGTGCAAAGCAGTGTCGACCGAGCACAGATACGGGAGAATCTGAAGCACTTTACCTCATATGCACATGTTGCTGGGTCCGAAGGGGACTTTGCCCTGGCAATGGACACCAAGAACATGTTCGTCCAGTACGGGCTGGAGGATGTGACCGTCGACGAGTACTACGTGTACCTGAACTACCCGACGCCCGACGGGAGAGGGGTGGAGATCCTTGACTCCGACGAGAAACCTGTGTGGGCAGCAAAGCTGGAAGAAGGAGACACGGGTGGCGAATCCGCTGGCCACCAGACATACGCTTTCCACGGGCATTCGAAATCAGGAACCGTGCAGGGGCCACTGATCTACGCAAACTACGGCTCACGGGAAGACTTCAGGAAGCTTTCCGACATTGGGGTTGAGACAAAAGGGGCGATCGCGCTTGTCAAATACTACGGGACACAAGGTGACCGCGCGCTTAAAATCAAGGCCGCAGAGCTGGCTGGCTTCGTTGGCTGCATCATTTACAGCGATCCCCGAGACGACGGCTTCCTTCGCGGCGACGTCGCCCCCGATGGCCGCTTCATGCCTGCGGATGGCGTGCAGCGCGGCGCTGTGAGCTTGATGAGTTGGGTGGTTGGTGACGTATTAACCCCCGGTTGGGAGAGCAAGCAGGGCCTGCCGCGACTGAAGCCCGAGGAATCCTCGGGGCTTGTGAACATCCCGAGCTTGCCTCTGGCATGGCGCGATGCCCAGGTGCTGCTGCAGCACATAAACGGTTATGGTCTGCCGGCCCCGGATGGGTGGGAGGGCGGGGTCCCGGACATCGGCGAGTGGTGGACAGGCAACCTGTCTGGGCCCGTCGTGCGCCTTAGGAACGAGCAGGATGAGCGCGCGGACCAGCCAATCTGGAATGTCTACGGCCGCATCGTAGGTATCGAACAGCCCGAGAAGTCCATCATCATCGGCAACCACCGTGACGCATGGTCCTATGGCGCTACAGACCCTGGTTCTGGCACAGCAGTCATGATGGAATTGGCCCGTATTTTCGGAGACCTACTTGAACGCGGCTGGCGGCCATTGCGCACAATCGAGTTCATGTCCTGGGACGCCGAGGAATACAACCTGGTTGGCTCGACCGAATTTGTCGAGAACAACCTCGATGGCTTGCGCAAAGACGGATACGTTTACATTAACGTGGACACGCCCATCGGCGGCGATGAGTTCCACGCCTCGGGAAGCCCGGTCTTCCAAAAGATAATCTACCGCGTCATCGACCGCATATACGACCCGAATCACAATACCACACTCCGGGAGCTATGGGACCGCCGTAGCGGCGAGCTGGAGGGCCTTGGAGCTGGGAGCGATTATGTCGCTTTTCAGGACATCGCCGGAACCTCGTCTCTAGATTTGTACTTCCAAGAGTCTGATGGCCTGCCGAGCCACCCGTACCACTCCAGCTACGATAACTTCGATTGGATGGAACGTGTCGGTGATCCAGATTTTGTGTACCACGGCATGCTAGCCGAGCTCATGGGGCTCGTCATCCTGGAACTCTGTGACCGACCAGTTCTACCCTTCGACATGGCGGCATATGCCAATGCGCTTTACAAATGGACCAACGAGCTATCTGACTGGGCGGAGAAGAAGGCTGCCGACCAAGGTCAGCGGGGCTCGCTCGACATGGACATCCTCAAGAAGGCCGTACTTGACACGATTGACGCAGTTGGGGGTTTTCAGGACTGGGAGCAGGTGTGGCAAAACAGCGTCCTGGCCGCCAACGGGTGGGAGCCGATCGGCTTAGGCCAGAAGAGGACGGAGTATAATGACCACATGGCCAACTTCGAGACCGACCTGCTTGATCTGGCTACTGGTGGCGGTGTAGGTTCTCTCTCCTCCCAGATAAGCGCCTCTCAAGGGCTACCATGCAAAGCGTAGCCTTCCTGGACTGACGAGTTGTTGAAACTATAGATTCCCAACCGGACTCAGTTCCGACACGTCGTCTTCGGCCCGCAGCTCTGGTCTGGCTACGACGAGGCCTTCTTCCCCGCCATTCGTGACGTCGTCGAGAGCGGCAACTGGACGCTGGCCAACCTGACCGTTGAGAAGACAGCCAACATCATCAGGAACGCTGCCACCTCACTGAGGGACTGGTCTTAGTCAAAGGGGAAAGCAGAGGGCCCAAGGAGATACGGGCATATTGGTGATCTCGTTTACTTGCTCAACAACACGCTCGAAAAATTAGGGCGAGGTGGGCTGGCATGGCATGGCATTGGCATGGCGAGGCGTTATCAGGAGGGTTCCTTTGTTTACCTTCTATATATGGAGACTCAGCTCTACAGTGGCTCCCTGATTATGTTGGTTTTTCACACAGTTTATGGATCGGTACAGAGGATGGATGGATCGCGCTCCGCGCTCAGAAATTGGTGGTGTAGGTGCAGGATAATATCCACCTCTTTTGGGATGGCTGAGGTAGGAGCCAACTATTTCTTGAATATTAAGCCCCCCCCCCCCGGCGCGGGGTTTCTGGTCAACATTCAAGTCATGTGAGAGCATATGTCTAGACATCCAACCTAGTGTCTGTCCTGCCGGTGAGCTCTGATAGCTACTCGCGGCCCCTCTACACATGAGGAGTAAATAAAGCAAGCACGGGTGTTGTTAGGGCACGCTTCAAGATGCGTACATTTACAAGCAGGTCATTAAACGTAACTGTTTTCCGCTGCTAATTTCACCCTGCCATGCGGGGAACATTCGGCGTCGACCACTCTTTTCACCAAGGCACCTGGAACTTGGCTCTTTCGACCTCCGCAGCTCTCATCAGTTTGGCCGCAGCATTATTTTGGCGTCAGAACGACACCCTCGTACTCCTTGCTCTTGATGATTTCGAGTGTATGGAAGAAATGCTTTTTGCTGTTCTCGATTGACGATGAGTCCTGCTGATTACCAGCGAGGTTCGAGTGAATCAGCTCGATCAGCCCGTTCAGATATTTCGTGGTGACCTTGTAGATTGAGATAATTAGCCAGTGTCATCGCTTATGACGACCCAGGCACAGATGAAGCGTAGTCTGTGTTGGCAAACTTACCGACTCATTATGCTGGTCAAAGTAATAGACATATCTGTCCAGAATCTCAACAAAAAGCTCGATGGAAGTGGCCGTCTCCATACAGGAGTCAGCCACCCTGAGTGCACGCTGTAAGCACTCGAGGACGCGTTTGCCATCACGGTAGAGCTGCGACGTGGTTAGGAACATGTTGCAGGAACTGGTGACGCCGCCAAACTCACGTCTTTCCCGTCTTCTTCTCCATTTCCTGGGATCGGTGTCGCCCACCAGAGGTGGCTTGCCAGGTACACAGCGCGACATTGATCCGGCTTTCTCAGCAGCTTGCTGGCGTGTTGAGCACACTTGGTGATAAGAGTGTCATAATTCTCCTTCCCGAAGTTGCGCGTGGTGTGCAGAGCGCTAGATATCACGCACACGGCCTGGAACTGAGCTTTGGAGTCACTGACAGCCTCTTCGTAGACAGTGAAAGCCTGCGCGAAGAACTCATATGCCACCTCCTCGTGGCCCGTCTGGTCGGCAGTCTGCCCGCAGGCGCAGAACAGGCGCAGAGCAAGTTCCGAAGCGCCAGCGCCATTGACACGAGTGTAGAGTTGGGACAGTGCGGAATGCATGAACTTGTACAGTGCCGAGGACTGGGTGGACCAGTTGTCCTCGTAGTGTTCGCGTTTCTTGTATCGGCGGGCCAGCTTCATGCCTGCAGTGATGAGGGGCGGTGTCGTGGTGCGTATGCGCTCGTTGCCCTCTGCGTATGCCTTGCGCGTCATCTGCAGCAATTTGAACTGGGTATCATTGTCCTCGCCCTGAAGCAGGTGCACCAGCCTTGCCAGCCAGCCTTGCTCCTCCATGGTCTCGTCCGTCTCCATGGCGCGGGATCGCGCCGATGAAACGCCCGGGTACCCCTGGGACTGAGAGCCTTCCTTGATCAAGACAGCGAGCACGCCGAGCACGTTCTCCAAGTGCGCGGCCGTGGATATCGGCGTCTGGTTCTTGAGAAGAGTGCGCGCAACCTCACCAGCAACCGCGCGCCTGGTTGGATATGTCTGGGACTGGAAGAGCGGCACGTAGAATGGCAGAGACAAGGCTGTGAATATGGAGACGTATCGTTTCAGCGGGGCCTGGAGTAGAGCGAGCAGGCTTTGCTGGGCAACAGGCGAGTGCAAGTCGGCGCTATTGGCATGCTCGTGTACTTTTGCGTTGGCATAGTCCAGGACCTGGTCAACGTAGTCTAGGCGTTCGGGATAGATGTTGAGGGCAAGATTTGTGAGCGAGACCAGCAGCGCGATGGTGTCCTGTATGGGCAAGCGCTGCGCCTCAACCAGATGCTGTACCTGACCGAAAAAGATGTCGTAGAGAGCGACATTCTCCGGGATTCCGCGATGTTTGAGCGGCGACCCTGGCTCCTCTCCGTTGACGGCTGTGGCATCGGTCTCTGCTACCGATGCTGCAGGCTCTGGCTCCGCGGGGAGTGTGCCGGCCGCTGAGGATGCATCGTCGCCGTGGGTGGCACCATTCTCGCCTGCCACCGCCTGTTCTGGCTTGTCGGGGGCTTGCTGAGCAGGCTGGGGTTCCTCATATCCAAGGCGGGCCTTTTCCAACAGTTGCACCAGGGCGTCCTGTTCGACTTTTGCCCTGTCGTCCGTGGCCTCATCCTGGGCCTCTCGCTCGGCGTAGTCGGACAACCTGTCCATGAGGCCGATGACGATGGCCTTGACGTTGACGTGTGGGTTCAGGCGCGACACGGCGGCGAGGAACTGGTCGAGGGTGTGGAGGTGGTACTCGTCTGGGAAGACCTGGGTGATGACTTCGAGAAGGTACTCCTGGGCGAGCACGTCACGACACTGCACGACCTGTTCCAGCAGGGGACCAAGGATGCCGTTCTTGTATGCCTCGAGGTCGACGAGCTGGCTCAGGCGCACGATGTTGCTGCCGACGAGCAGCTGCAGCTCCTTGCGCTCCTGGGTGCGCAGGTCGCGCTCCCTCGAGTGGCCCTGGTGCTGCAGGCGAACCCACAGCTTGTTCATCTCGACAAAGTTTGTGAGGATGAAGTTGATGGAGTCCTGCAGGTTGCCTTCCGGGCCGTCTCCTTCCCCTGCTGGCAGGTAGTCGCGGGCCTGCCCGGACAGGTAGTACCTCAGGAACAGGCCTCTTATGGGATGCTGGACGCCCCTGCTCATGTCCATCATATCTTTCATCAGCTCCTTGACCGGGGCGCCGTCGATGGACATGTAGGCGGTGCCGACGGTGATCATCAGGTAGAGCCTAGGGACGATGTTGCCGGCATACTGGACGAGCTCGTACAGGTCGGCAAGGTGGTTCACGGGGTGGTTTTCTCGGAGGTGGACGGAGAGGAAGCGGAGGGCATCGAAGACGGCCATGTAGAGCTCGTAGTACTGCTTCGGGCCGAGACTGGAGGTTCGCAGCTCGGAGACGAGGGTGGAACTGGAGGGGTAGGGGCATGTCAGCGGCGTCCCAGGAGAGAGTGCTGCGTGGAGGGGGGGAGGGGGGAGGGGGGAGGGACGCACCAGCACTTGAGGGCGTCCATGAGCTTGCCAGGCATGTCGAGGCACTTGCGCATCAGGGCTGTCTGGTGGCGCACTGCCTCGAGGGCATCGCCGAGCAGGCGGACCTGGTCTTCGGGCGGGGCGGGAGCAGCCATGGCGCCGGAGAGGGACCTGGTCTTGCGGATTGATTGTTTCTTGTGCTCGAGATATCGTCCACCGATCCACCCTATGGCGGCCTCGCCGTACCGGGTGGTCGCAATAGTTGTCTCGTGGGCGGGTGGTGTGTGGTCAGAGAGGAAGAGTGCCTGCAGAACCCTCGCGGTCGACCAGTCAATTGGCGAACCACTCAGTCAGCTTCGTCGAACAGCATGCGGGATGTGGTGATGGCGCCTGGTTGCAGCAGGGGACATGGAGGTATGGCGAGTGGCTATCGAGTGCGGGTAGGATGGATGGATGTCGCTGCTGCTGTCATATCTACGTACCCCGGTACCCCCGTACCTTTGTACCTATGTGCCCCCGTGCCTATGTAACCCCGTACCTATCTGTTGCCTCCCTCCTTCACCCTCAACCTCCAGCTTCCACCTTCTACCTTCCACCTTCCACCTTCCACCTTCCACCTTCCACCTTCCACCTTCCATTTCCCTCCTCCTCCTCCAACAAGCCGGCCGCTTGGATGCGGGAGAAGCCAGCACAACAAAAGGCCGCGCCAGCCTGCACAATGCTCTGCCACACTGCCAGCTCGTCGTCGTTGCGCGGCGCGTAGATGAATGTGTAATTCCAGGGGAGCCTCCCGCCGCCGCTCAGCCGGTGCCGCCGGCCCCAGCCCAGCTCGATCACCCTCTTCTGGTCTGCCAGGCTCATGACCACGTGTGTGCTTCCGTCCGCCGGGTGCACGTGGCACATCTCCCCCCGGGTGCTCCGGAGCACCTCGGGCCTGTCCTGCTCCCTCACCCCCTCGCCCAACCCCACCGCCGGCACGGGCCCCTCCAGAACACTGGCCTGCGTCTGCAACGCCTCGCCGTTCCTGGCCACCAGCGCGTCGAGGTACGCCAGCATGGCCTTCTTCGTTTCCGCGCTCGCCATGTCCGTCACCTGTCTCTGTGGCGCCACGAATCCAGGCACTTGCGGCGCCTTGTTGCCAGCCCGCCAGCCCAGCCCGCCCATGGCCGTCCTGGGCAGGAAGCTCTCCCTGTCGTGAGGGCCTCCGACTACCTCCACGTCATATGGTCCTGGCACCGTCGTGTCCTTCCGCGCCCTGGCTGCCATGCCCAGCTGCGTGTACCACCCCCAGAATGTGTCGGGCAGCCCGTGCGGGCCCAGCGCTATGTAAGCCCGATAGTCACGGTAGGCCGTGACAGCACCAGCAATCAAGAGGCCCGCGCCGGTGGCCAAGAGAGGGTGGTCCCGGACCTTTGAGACCATAGCTTGCACCTGTGTGTTTTGCATGTTCAAAATCGTCCAGCTTTTCTTGGAAAATGAGGCTTGATAATGCGGAATTCTCTAGGTATCAAGAGCTTGCTCGGTTGGTGAGAGGCCCTTATACAAGTTTCCCTTCGCCACAAAGCCGTGCCTCTCCCTTCTGCATCTCGAAACACCGAGGAAGCCCGTCACACAACAATCCCAACATCCGCCCATGAGTTCGTATCCCCGAAGCCTCGGAAGACGGACAGACCATGCTGGCAGCGTCATGCATCCGAGTCTCGGCGATAGGCCCCGGACCTCCGAGGCTGACTCCATCAGTGCAAGTAAACAAGGTAGCAAGGGAAAAATAAGGATCCTCCAATATCTATATGCACACAATTTATAAGGCGTTTGGTTGATCGTGTATGTACGGGCGACATTACCCGTAGTACGTATTATGGAATCATGACGGAATATGCAAAGCACCGAGGGAGTAGCCATATCCGCTTTATAATAAATAACACGACGCTCTACAGAAGCCGTGCATATAGCTGCTAGTGCCCGGCAGAAGATATCTTAAAATATAATTAAAATAACTAAAATATTTTAAATTTAATATAATAATTATATATATTCTTAAATATATATAACATAAAAGTAAAATTACTTAATATAATAAATTTATAAGTAATAATAGACTTTATTTATATAAGTACCTAATGTAGGTGAACCTGGCATTAGGACGCAGTCGACCAAGCTGTATTGGTCGGGCCAAGCAACGCATTTCTCGGAACCATTTTCACCCAGCAAAGACATCATCGCCAACAGCGTCACCATGGCCACACAGTCAGCAATCATCTGGCCACTCGAATTCACCCCAGGCGAGACAGATAATTATGTGTCTAACGAGGTCATCGCAAAGGGAATCACCGCTGTACAAATATGGGCGCTCCTGGACAACATCAAGAAGTGGGAGTCATACTATCTCAACTGCGGTCAAATCACTGCGCCCGAGTCAGGGCCCATGCTCAAAAAGGGCGACGTCTTTCGGTTTGCCACCTTTGGCTTCCCGCCGCTGACATGCTCCGTCAAGGAATCCGTGATGCCGGGCCCGGGTACAGCGGGACGGCTTGCGTGGAGCGCCGACGCGGGAGAAGGGGGTGCGGTCTATCACGCGTGGCTAGTTGAGGACTTGGAAGGGAGCAGGGTGAGAATCCTGACGCAGGAGAGTCAGATCGGGTCGATCTTTCGAGAGTGGGCGGGGGCAGTGCCCAACAAGATGTTGCTGGGACACCAGGACTGGCTGGATGGGCTCGTCAAGGCGGTAAGAGGGCAGGAGGTGAGCGAGACGAACTTGAAGAGCGTTGGATTTTCCCCGAGGAGTTGAGCCCGCAAGTTCTTCACACACGCGAACACTGATTGGAACATGTTGGTTACATTGCGCATCCCTTCAATCCTACGCTCATTTCAATGTTGTCGCTCCACACATGGACGCAGAAGTCTCTTTGATTCATGATGCTTGCCAGGGCCACATTATTCCGCCCGTGATGGGCTCATCCGACTAGATGGGACACGGCGATACCTACCTGGCACGGGTTTTGGGTGTGCAAACAGCTCCCAGGGTATTACGTCACCCTTGAGGTGCATCGGTGGCAGCACAACCCGACCTGGGGAGCACACTAGAAGGCATTACGATACACGTTTTCCAGCGACTCTTCCGAGAAGCACCACGGGCCGTTAGCGGCTTTCCGGGTGCCGCGCCTCCAACGGCAATGACGACATGACTTGAAAGGCTCGCTCGCTGCATTACCAAGTCGATGTACCAAGTCGCAAAGGGCGGGCTTACCAGGTCCCACAAGCGCCACAGTTCGAACTGCCGCGGTATCGTGATTTCTAATGCTGGGTCGCGTGGTGGTAATTGTCAACTGGTGACTTCATCAGTTGGCGTGTTCCAAGGTTGTCAGTGATATAAAAGTACCCAGGCCTGCAGCCGACCACTTCACGACACTTGAACGCCGGGCGTGGACCAAGACCCAGGTCATCTCAACTCCAGTACACCGGCATTGTTCAGATATTGCGGCTTCGCCAAGAACTCGTGCCAGACGAGATCATGGCTCCAACGCGTTTTGAGGCCCAGCATGTCGACCCAAGTCCCCTGGGCCAGCCCCTGAAGTTCGAATTCAGCGGCTTGACCGCCAAGAACAGGTTCATGAAGGCAGCCATGACAGAACGGCTCGCGACGTGGGATCCAAACCACCTCGAGAAGCGTGGCATCCCAACGCCAGGACTCATCAACGTGTACCGGCGGTGGGGTGAGGGCGGCTTCGGTGTTATATTATCCGGCAACACCATGATCGAGTATGACCACCTCGAGGCACCCGGAAACTTGATCATCCCACTCGACGAACCCCCCGAGGGTAACAGGTTCGAGGCATACAAGCGGCTGACTGCCGCTGCGAAGAAGGAAGGCAGTCTGTTTGTGGCACAGTTGAGTCATCCTGGCCGTCAGGTGTCTGAAGACGTACAACGGCACCCAATCTCTGCGAGTGATGTCCAGCTGGAAGGCGATGTCCTTGGAATGCGCTTTGCAAAGCCTCGCCCTATGGAGCAGAAGGACATCGACCGTGTCATCCAAGGTTTCGCTCATGCTGCTGAATACTCCCACAAGGCCGGTTTTGACGGTGTCCAGCTGCATGGCGCCCACGGCTACCTGCTCGCCCAATTCCTTGCGCCTTCTACCAACAAGCGCACGGATAAGTACGGCGGCTCACTCTTGAATCGCGGACGCCTCATCATGGAAATTGCAGACGCCATCAAGGCTCGCGTGAATGATCCGTCGTTCAGCTTAGGCATAAAGATCAATAGCGTCGAGTTCCAGGAGGGCGGCTTCAGTCCTGAAGACTGTGCTTCGCTGTGCGAGGAGCTCGAGAAGCACGGTTTCGACTATGTCGAGCTCTCTGGTGGTACCTACGAGAACCTGGCGTTTTCCCACAAGAAGGAGTCCACAAAGAAGCGAGAAGCTTTCTTCCTCGACTTCGCCGAAAGCATTGTTCCAAGGCTCAAGAGGACGAAAGCTTATGTCGTGGGCGGCCTGAGATCAGCAGGCGCAATGGTCAAGGCTCTGGACTCCGTCCACGGAGTGTCACTGGCAAGGCCGATTGCGCATGAGTTCGATCTGCCCAAGAAGATCCTTGAAGACGGGGTCCAGAGTGCTATTGAGTACAAATTGGATGAGCAAGACTTCGGTACTACGAACGTGGCCGCCGGAACGCAGTGAGCATTTCACCTTTGCGCGGGTCGTTTCAGTCCAATGCTAATCTGGGATGCAATCAGGATTCGCCTCGTTGCTCAAGATAAAGAGCCTCTAGACATGAGCCAGGACAAGCACAAGGACGCTTTCATGGCGTCTATGCAGAAATGGTCCGAGGAAATGGCAAACAACAAGGACGGTTCCAAATTCGGATTCGTCAATATTGACGGCATTCAACTTCAACCCTATGGTGCCGCTTACGCCGCTTGAATGTGCACTGAGAAATATCAGATTACCTAGGTACACAGACCAGAACCCTACCGGGAACCTACAGGTTTTAGCAACCGTTGTTTCCTTAGAGTTAATGGATAAACTTTTTAGAATAGTTCCTCCCTCAGTAATGTGGTTTCGCTTCTATTCCGTATACGTGCGAGGACATACATGGCGCCTTCATACGGTGATAAGCACTCAAGACCCAGCGCTTGAAAATATAGTCATAATACGATAGGTGTTCGTGGCCTCAGCCTTGCGACGCACAGACAAGGCTAAGGGGCACCGTCTTGACTGTCTCCCAGTACATGCATAGAATCGGCCTGGACCTCATCATCCTCCATAGTCGAAGCCCACACGAGATTTTGGCTGGTTTACATCCATCGGACAAGATCCAAGCTGCCATAGTGGGTTCTGTGAGAACAAGTGGGGAAGCCGCCGCCGCCCCTCAACCGGTGCTACAATACGCACATCTCGAAAAACCGGCAAAATCAAATATGATGTATGATTGCAATGTCTGCGGGTATGTATTATGTCAGCTGACATTTAACGCAGATCATGTGATTCGAGCCCATCAACAAATGTATTTTTGCCATGCTTCGATACCTCCCTGCTCAAGAGGTCTGCGGCCGGAAGCGGTCCAGCTGTCGGATCGGGTCAGGGGCCGCGAGTCAAGTCGACTCATGGCGTGGGGTATAGCAGTGGACTGTAAGAGTGCAGTGGCCTGTTCGCGTTCCTGCGGTAGGGGCCAGGAAAACGGACCGAAAAGCTGGGGATATGGGGATACGCGTGGTCACGATGTAACGGTAGATGACCCATTTTGGCACAATGATTTGCTCGCGAAAAAGTGCTCGGATGAAGCAGACCAATCCGGGCCCCATCAAGAGGAGGTCATGCAAGGTTTATAGCATTCATGTTGATTATCTACAGATGTGTATTTAAGGGGCTTAAAGCCCCTGTGCTGTCGCCAGGAAATTTAGCTAGGCCAGCCAACCCAAGACAAGTGCGAAGCATTCGGCGAGGCAGAATCGTCTGACCAAGCAGCCGAGAAACGATGGTTGGAAGAAAGATTGGCGCCGTATCGACGGCTATCATGTCGGCTGTCGCTGCCTCTTCGATCTCGAGATACAGCGTCAGTGGACATGCAGCGGATCCGATCGTGCATCTCGACAACGGGCTTTCTGTGCAGGGCCGCCTGGCTCCAGCAGCATCGACCGTTGCAGAGTTTCTCGGAATTCCTTATGCGCAACCGCCTGTCAACAACCTACGTTGGGCGCCTCCACAGCAATATGAGGTCGCTTCCAACAAGTCGATCGTCAACGCGACAGCCCTGCCACCGTCCTGCTGGCAATACATATCAGTTCACCCAGGCATCCTCCGGACCGACGCGCCAGAGTATATGATTGGTAAAGCTGGAATGGCAGAGGACTGCTTGACGATGAGCATTTGGGCGCCGACAAAGGCGCTAGAGGCTCAAGAGTCCCAAGAAACTTTGCCCGTTTTAATCTGGTTCTATGGTGGAGGTTTCGCTACTGGCGGTATCGATGTCCCTTATCAAATTCCTGTGGATTGGATTCAGAGATCGCAATCTCATATTGTCGTCTCTTTCAAGTGAGTCTATTCCTCGTGTCCGAAAATCGGCCGAAGATCTGATATTGGAGAATAGCTACCGCCTAAACATATTTGGATTCCCAACCGCCGCTGGCCTGTCAGAGCAGAACTTTGGTCTGATGGATCAAAGATTCGCAGTTGAGTGGCTACAAGAGAATATTGCCAAGTTCGGCGGCGACGTACGTATCCTGAACTCGTCAAATTTATTCCGAAGCCACTAACAAAAGTCTGTTAGCCTGAACGCATGGTCATCTGGGGCCAGTCTGCGGGATCAACCGCTGTGGATATGTATAACTTCGCTTATTCTGAAGAGCCCATCGTGAAAGGCCTGATCATGGATTCTGGCACGGCTCATCTTGACATCCTCATCAACCGTGAAAAGACCGATTTCTCCAGCTTCAGCATTGCGGCATCTTATTTTGGCTGTGGCAACCAGACTACCCCAGGAGCGGAGCTGGAGTGCATGCGCAAGGTTCCTGCTTCGGAGCTCGAAAACTTTGTCGCAACTTATGAGGACTCGGGAGCGTCCCCTTCCATCAACTTCATCCCGGTGGTAGACGAGAAGCTTGTCTTCAATAACTATACACAGAAAGCTGCAGATGGCGAGATGTCTAGCCTGGTACGTTGATACTTCCAGCTCGTACCAGCGAAGCAAAGCTCTACAAGTACATGACTATTAACAAATGCATTCAAGCCTGCCATCATTGGATTCAATGAGAATGAAGGCCTGTTCTTGACAGAATACAATGCCACTTATCCAGATTTTGATACTGCCTTGGAGTACTCATATAAATACTTCTGGTGCCCAGCAACTTTGACTACATAGTGAGTCACTAGGCGCAGGAGCAAGGCGTCGGCCTACAGCGGAAGCTAACCAGTGATCTGCAGCGAGCGCCTTGAAAACAATCGGGTCACCCACCGATACTACTACACGGGGAATTTCACCAACATTAGTCCTCGGCCTTGGATGGGGGCATATCATGAGGCAGAGCTACCCATGTTGTTTGGCACGCACATGAACTTCCGCGGCAACTCCACCCCTTTCGAGTATGCCGTCAGCCACACTTTGCAGGATGCGTACCTGGCATTCGTCACAGACCCTGTTGATGGTCTGGATTCGATAGGCTGGCCCGCCTACGCAGGACCTGGTGGCAGTGTAATGCAGTGGGCAGACATGTCCAACCTGACCTTAGCACACTTGACTACTGTCGCAGAGATCGAGAAAGGCTGCGCGAGCAAGGGCCTGCTAAACTCGCTCGCGCAAGGTCCCTAGGCCAGGCTGCCTGTTGAGGTGTAAATACGCATACAGTGACTACTTTAATCAGCTGGTATTCTTGCGCGCAGGACGACCCATTGCTGCTCGGTTGTAATACGGAGTACTTCATTTTGTTATGGGTACGAGCTGTGTGTTTGGTTTTCACCCAGCAATGTTCATCTCCGAGCGGAAGAAGTCCGCCAGACCCTTTTCTATGGAGGCAGAAATAGCGGCATATAGAACCATACCCGGCGACTTGGGTACCGGCAAGTATTTCATTTCTGAAACCACATCAAGCTCCTCTATACCTTTGACCTGTGACAATTCAGTGATCCACTGTAGGCTTTCGTGCTGAATAAGACTAAGTAGTCTGATGTCGGCCTCGCTGAGCTCCTGCACGCCTTCCCACGGCCCACTCGGACTGCCACCTTCGATGACGAGCCTTAGCTTCTTCATGCACCTTGTCTGGCCCAAATAGCGACATAAGTATGACCATTCATGTCTGTCACTGTTGAAATCCATGCATGGAAGCGGGCCGCGCTTGTACAAGGAAATTCCAGTAACAAGGGGTCGCGTGTAGGGTAAACGGTCCTGAAGGAAAGGCACTATAGCCTCAATGTGAGACCCGAACTCAAACCAGTGTTTACCGTAGAGTATTTGAGAGGTCTCGTTGTATATAAGGCGACAAACACCTAGTATTGCTGTCTGCATCGTGATAGTCAGCTTTCCAAGAACAAAGGCAGTAGCTCCAATCGAAGCAAAAGGCTACCTAGGTACGTAGGTACCTAGGTACGAGGTGGGTCTAGTACCAAGTATCAAAGGCCTCGTAACAAGATCAAAATGGGGCAAATGTCTTATTTTAAGAGTATTCAAGGTGTTTTCAGAAGTTGCTTACGTGAAATTCGGCCTCTTTGCTAGCGAGATGATAGGTCGTTTCGAAACAGCGCCGGCTGAACATAGACGTCCGCTCTATCACATGGTATTTTGTGGATTGTCTTGGTACGGCAGGGCATTGATTTCCTACTTCGACTTCCGACTGCCTGTTTCTTGTGTCTGGACGATTACGAACAGAGAGCCACTGACTTCCACCATCATCAAGTAGGTAGCTATAGATGTTGAGGCGGATCTCGGCCGGGACGCGAAGAAAATAATTATGCTGCTGTTGAGACATGGGCGCTCCTCCCCGACCGAAAGATGCGCTTGCCTGGTAAGCGTTTCTCAAGTAAGCCCTGTGGTGTTCACGGTCGAGTGTTACTGCACAAATGAAGAAATAAATGGTTGACTAGAAGCGAAACCAGCAGAAATTGTGACCCGTGTTGATCAGGAAAACAGGACAAAGAGAGTCGCCATCCCCGATCGGAGTGAGAACCGTGGATATACTTTTTCAGCCATGAGCCATCAGGGTCCTTCACTTGCGGCACTGTAGGCACGCCCGGTACGACCTCATATGCTGGGATTGCAGATGCGCTCTCGGCCCACCATCCATCAAGGTACTTGGACGATGCAGATACATTGGTTCTACTGGCCCCATGACATCACCTGTAATACAACCATAAATTGGGTGAGCCGACGCGCACAGTCCACAATACCCGCAGTGCACGAATCCTGCGGCATTTATGCTACAATTTACCTATAAGTTCCGGTGACCATAGGCCACTAAACAGGTTGGAGGTGTTATAATGATTCCTCACAAACATATCTTTTTTAGTAAAATATAAGCTACTAAGTATTACTATAGTAGGAGAGTTAATATTATATAATAGTTTAAAACTCTTATAAAGGTAATTTATTAATTAATTATCTTTAATAATATATAAATATTATATTAATATTAATATTTATTATTAAAATAATTTTATAATTTATAATAAAAAGATAAATTATTTATATAAAATTAATAATTTAAATTTAAAGTTATTTAAAATAATATAAAAAATAATAAAGTAATAATTTTATATATAAAAAATATAAAATTTATTTAAATAATATAAATATATTTATATTTTAATAACTTTTAAAATAAATATAGTTCACTTAAAAATCTTTTATTTACTAATTAAATTCCTAGAGTAGCATATACCCCAGCTATAATGCTAATAAGGCTAGTAATAGCATTACGAATCCCGGTTACTGAAGCCGTAATGCTAAGGGTAGCTGCAGCGGAGGCGAAGGCGGCTACTGGACCGACGAATGACCTAAGTGCTGCTGACAATGCTGCGAACTCAGCTCTGACCAGCGCATTGACGGTTTGATCGAGGTCTGCGTGCACCTGTATGTTGCCAGGGATTAGCCATTGATGCCCGAGGCCAAGTCAAATGCAGCTATCTAGATATATACTAATTCTCACGCCGGTACCTTCTACTTACCACTTTGACTGAAGCATTGATATTGGTGAGGATGTTCTTGATTGTGTCGATATCTCTGGCCAGCATGTCAATCTCGCTCTGGACCAGGATCGCCGCCCTGATATTGAGTTCGCCCAGCCCAGTAGTGGTAACACGAATGATATTCCCAGAAGAATCGGTAAGGGCTGCGGTGATATTTTTAGCGCTGTTCTTGATGGCATTGATAGCTTGTTGCGCAATTGCCGTGTATGCGTTCGGCTCGTTCTTGATCACGGCGATGCTTGATGCTGATGTACGTCAAGGTCATTAGTCAATATTTGCTTAATCAGATTGATAAGCGTGCCCTGAAACTGGTCCAATGGAGCATACCGATAGTAACTAGGTATGTGGATACAGTATAGTTCACAGTCGCCACGGAGGCATCGATGGTGCCCACCACTGTTGGACTTTGGCGCTCGACGAAAGCTTCGGCTGAGACGCTGCTTAGGGCAAAAGCTGCCATTGCTGCGAGACAGAACTTCATAATGAGAGCTTGAATCCGAAACTAGTACTCTTGATGATTTTAGTTGTTTGTAGTGAAGGAGTCCGAGTGCTTGTGTCGGGGCCGATGAAGTGCGGTCTACGTTCTCTAAATCTAAGCGGATGATATCGAGCTTTTTATATTGCCATTTCCCTGTAGCACCGCCAGCCTTGTATCCATATGAGCGGAATTGATCGAGCTCATTATGCTATTGGAATTCCAGCTTGGCTGGGTTCAACAGCAATCACTTCCCTATTTCTCGGATGTCGGCTCTCCCTTGACCCAGCGGTGTTCAATCCTTGGCTCCCTTGAGCCAGGGAGCGTATAGCAAGCAGCACAAAGCCAGTATGTAGGTATGCCAAGGGCACCAGTAGCCCGCTGAAGATCCTATGGCTGTTAAAAGAATGAGTGATCGTCATGATGCAACCCAAAGCGGTTATATGCAATCCCTTCGTCAACCCAACCTAGAATAGTACTGGTGGATAAAGAATCTAAATCAGGTCCATTACGCAGTTTTCAATACCATGCTGAGGCGAGAATGACGTGTTAAGCCCGGGAATGACAGTCTCGTGTATAGCTAACATTCCATCTAACGACTGGCTGCCTAAAATTGCCTCGGTTAGTTCCGGTTAAAGACTAGAATTATAACCGCCTTTAATCTATATATTTTATAGGAGCCACCTATAGCTCTAATTCTTCTATTATAATAGAATATATTATAAAAGTTTAATATAATTAATAAAGATTAATATTATTATAAATATAAAATATTTAATTATATTTAAAGTATTTATAAATCTATTAATTATAATTTAATATTATATAATTAAAATAATATTTAAATATATTTAAATTAATATAAATTATTTATACATATTTTAATTTTATTATTAAATTAAAGATAAATAATTAAAGTTTTAAAAGAATATAATATAATATATTTTTAAAATTAATTTAATTATATTTATTATATAAAACTTTTATAATAATTTTATAATAATTTATAATATTATTTATTATTAAAAATACTTTTATTTTAATATTATTAATTTATTAAAATTAAAATTATTATAAATTATAAATTAATTTAATATTATTAAATATTATTCTATAAAACTATTAAATTTACTATATAATTTAAACTTTTAAATTAATTAAAATAAATATAAATAAAGTTATTATTCTTTTAATTAAAATAATATTTATTTATTAATTTTATAAATAAAAATATTTAAAAATAATTATTAAATTTATTATATTATTAAATTAAAATAAAATAAAATTAATTAAAATATTATAATTATAATCTTTTAACTTTATATTTAAAAATATATTTATTATATATATTATATTTTATATATAATATTTTATATAATAATAAATATTTAATATTTAATATTTTAAATAATAATAATAATAATAATAAGCTAGCGTCTACACACCTAGTAAGTTAGTCTATATACCTAATAATTTATTTCTATATACTTAATACCTACTTTTCTTAGTAACTCCCTTATATTTATAAGTACTTTTTAAGTTAGCACTAAGTAACTCTATAATATAAGCTTTTTCTTTAATTTTTAGTACTTAAGGTATAAACCCCTTCTAGCGCCCCTTCGCCTTTACCTTCTAGTACCCTTTCTAAGACTCTTCACCTTCACCTTCTAGGACCCTTCACCTTTAAGTACTAATTGAGTATTTAGATACTAACTAAACGCTAGAAGGCTAGAAAGTAAGAAGGTAAAGGTGAAGACTATACTCTTTCTAGGCTTTTAGCACCCTTTTTAACCTTCTAGCCCTCTAAACTTCTAGCCTTCTAGCATTTAATTAGTATTTAAATATTTAATTAATACCTAAATGCGTGCAGGCTAGAAGGCCTAGAAGGGGTGCTAGAAAAGGTATATGGCAGGCATGATAAGGTGCAGCTATGCCTGTATATAGATAGATAGATAGGGTGTAGGGAGGTAGTTAGTTAGCTGCTAGTTAATACTAGCTAATAGGTATATAGGCTATATTTTTAAGCTTACCTTAAAAACTATAAATAAACCTTCTAGCTATTAAACCTTTCTTTTAAACTATATATAAATATAATATAGTTATATTTTAATTTATATACTATAATTAATAGTTATAACTTTATATATTATAAAGATATTAAAGTTCTTTATTTTTATTTATTTTTATATTTAAGTAATTAATAAAAGTTAGTATATTAATTACTTATTTTAGCTATTTAAAGTTAGTAAGGTTATTAATAATATTATTAGGTAAAGTTAGTATTTTATTAATATTTACTTTATTTAATAATTAACGTTATTAAGTAAAGTTAATAACCTATTAATATTAATATTAAATAATAATAATTACTTTTTATAAATAATATATTTATAATTATAAAGTTAAATATACTTTTTTATAAAATAGTTATTAATAAAGTTAGTAATTAACTATATAACTTATATTATATACTTTATTCTACTATTATATTTTAAACTTTAAAATTAGAAAAATTAATACCTTAATAATAAATATTATAAATATTATAATTTTATATATATAAATAAACTTAATAGCTTTTATATTTTTTTACATTTATTTTATTTTTATTATATTTTATTTTTAAAAGTTAATTTAGATTTCTATTTAATTATAAATAATATAATAAACTAAATGTTAGGTACCTTTTAATAAAGTAATAACTTTAATTAAAGTTAATATAACTACCCTTACTTTCTATAACTTAACTACCTTTATTATTAATAATACTACTATTTAATAAGGTTTTTTAAACTTTAATATAAAAGAACCCTTTAGGATAGTTTTTTTTTATTTTAAATACTCTTAAATATTATAACTTTAGGTTTAACCTTTATCTCTCTTACTTATTATAAATAAGTCCCTTATAATATATTTTATAACCTATTAATTTTTAAGTAATAGTAAAATATTTATTAAATTAAGTTATTTAAAAGAAGTATAATATATTAAGATATAAAAAATAAGAGTAATATAAGACTTTAAAGGGAAATATAAACTTTAAAAAGGAATAATTAAATCCTTAAGGATTTTTTAGATGCTAGTTATATATATAAATATATATATTTAGTAAAGGGTTAGTATACTTAAAATAAAAGAATTAAAGTTATTAAAATATAGCTATATAGTATAGATAATACTTTATAAAAATAAAAACTATAATTTAAGGTTTAACTTAAAGTATAGTAGTATAGTTATCTATTTAATACTTATAGTTATACTATTTTAATTATAATAAGCTTTTTTAAAATAAAATATATTTAATTTTTAATTTAAAGTTAATCTATTATTTATTTTATATTTATTTTAAAATATTTAATTTAATTATTTTATTAAATACTTAATAAAGTATTTAATATATTATTATAGCGACTATTACTTTTTATTAAACTATATAAAAGGTGTTAAGAAAAATAACTAATAATATATATATAATTATTTTACCTTTTAATTAAATTAAATTATTTAAATTACTTCTATTATAGATATATTTAATTACTATTAAAGGTATCTAACTTTTAGAAAGTTACTCTTTCTTATTAAGTAGTTATAAATAACTTATTAATTACTATCTTATAAATAATTATAAATACCTTATTTATTATTATTTTATAAGTAATAGTTAAGTATATTACTTATATTTTAATATTTACTTTATAGTTACCTACTTTTAAATACCTTTATATTAATTTATATTTAAAATATTTTATAGAGTACTTTACTTAGCTTACCTTATAGTTAGTTATATAGTTTACTTTATAACTTAACTTTATTAGGTTTCTCTTTATACTAACCTTTATATAAATATTTTTATAATATATTTAACCTCTTTATAATTAAAAGTCTATTAAGGTAATTAATTAATTTAATTATATATATAATTTTAATACTTTTAATTTAAAATAAAATTAATATATTTTAATACCTTTAACTACTTTATTAACTTTTATTTTATAATAATATATATAATAAACTTAAACCTTATAAATAAATTAATATCTTTAACTTTTATATAAGGATATTAAAGGTTTTAACTTTATTTTTTAAATAAAGATATTATTTATATAAATATTAATTACTTTAAGAAATATATATTAAATCTTTTAATAACTATTATATATTATTTAATTATTAATAAAAATACTTTTATAATTATTTAAACCTTTAAAGGATTTTATTTTATTATTAATATATTAAATTAATATATAAGGATTATTAAGCCCTTTTAATAATAAAATAAAGTTTATTATTAATACTTTAAAAGTAATTTTTATTAAATAATTTATTATTATAAATATATATAACTCTATTTATATCTTTTAAAGTTACTTTATAAAAACTATAAAGCTTTAAATAACTACTTTTAAAAAGATTTATTAAGTTTAAATAATAAAGTTTATTTTCTTTAATAATAATAATTAAAATAAAGTACTTTATTAAATTTAAAACTTAATACTTATTATATTTTAATAAAATATTAGGTTATTTAATAAGTTTAAGTTATTATTAAGTTATATAAAGTATATTAATAAGTATTATAGTACTTTATTAGTTTTTATTAAAAATAGTTATAGTTTTAATAACTTTATTAACCTTTTATTTAAATTATATTAATATAATAATTATAAGTGTTATAATATAAATTATTATAAAATTATTATAATAATTATTATAATAATTATTATTTTAATTAGTATAATAATTATTAAAAGTTTTATACTAATAATTATAGTAAACTTAATTATTATAATAAGTACTTAAATAATAAAATAAGTTTTATAGTATTTAATAGTATAATTATAATAAAGTTAATAATATTATATTAATATAAAATTTTAATTTTAATTATATTTATATAATATACTCTAATTTTAATAGTAAGTATAAATTTAAACTATTTAATTTTAATAATAATAATAATTTTATAAGTAATATTTTATTAATAAATAACTATTATAAAATTCTAA